AGCCTTGGCAAGTAAAGTGTATGTTTTATCATTTTGCACTATCTGAGACAAAGCATTAACTTTTTTTTCTCATAATTGTTTCTTTGTGTTTAGTTGGGTTATTTTTCCTTTGGTATTGCTTCAGTACTTTTTTAATATAATTCCATATAAATTAACAATATCATTATATCAATTAATGAAGAAAGAGTTTGCATATTTGCCTAAATAAGCTGGCATTTCTCAGAGACACTTCTCTGAGAGAGGGCACTGGACTGAAGTAAACCGCACAATATTACGATCAGGGTTTGAAATTAATTCCAGCCAAATGCAGGTTAAAAATCAACTGTGGCAGAAAATTAATGTGTAAAATTCGAATTGGATATAAAAATATATAAACAAAAAAATGTGTGTGTATTTATATATAATTATTTCCATTTAAATAATATATATATGAAGAGTTCAGATGCAAAAGCCTCTAAGTGCCATTTGAAATTTTCTTCTAAAATGACCATTTTTATCAAGCTTGTATATTTAAGTTCAGTAATTTCACTTAAATGGCAATGAAGATTACCTATTAATTGTCATTTTAGTGAAATTACTGAACTTAAATATACAAGCTTGATAAAAATGGTCATTTTAGAAGAAAATTTCAAATGGCATTTAGAGGCTTTTGCATCTGAACTCTTCATATATGTATGTATGTATGTATATATATATGATACACTGAGATTTGGTATTTGTCTTTGCGTGTAGTTCATATCAGGTATATTTTAGCCTTTTTATGTTTGTCACTCTTTGCTCCTGACAAGTCTGTGGTGCTCTCTGTATAGGCTTTGAGTGTGGAGCTTCTCAGCGTTCTGCATAGGCTCATAGTCACTCGGGAATCTCCCAGCATTCAGTTGGCTGTGCTGGAACTGGTGAGCCAAATCGTTTGTGCTGCTCAGGAGCATGTCAAAGAGAAACGCCACAGTGCGGAGGGTAAGTCTAAAACAAACAAACAAACAAAAATGAAGTGTGCAGTGCGTACATACCACTCTGAATTCCTCTTTCTTTACTGCATTTGGTCAGTTGATGATGGTGCAGCAGAGAAGGAAACTGTTCCTGAGTTTGGTGAGGGCCGGGACACTGGCGGCCTGGTGCCAGGACAGTCTCTTGTGTTTGGAGCACTGGAGCTGTGTCTCTGCACGCTGGTGAGGAAGCTTCCGCAGCTCAGCCCTAAGCTGGCCGGCAGCCCCACGGGGCGGGGAGGACAGACCTGCTCTCTCAGCAACACTGACTGTAGACTCGTCACATCTGCTGTGGCCATCCTCTCAGAACTGCCCTCCATCTGTTCACCAGAGGGTAAGAGATCCAGGGAATTACTGCAGCCATAAGAGCTTTCAGATTATGAGAAAAAAAAAAAATCTTTCTGCCCTCTTCATTTAAATCTACTCTTCATTTTGTTTATTCAATTTAGGATTCCCATTTTTTTCTTCTTGTGACCTAAAAGGTCACAAAAAAACGAAATACTATTTTTTGAAGTCACCATCATTGTTTTGTTCTCTATTAAACATTTTGTTATATTTCAAGATGAAATGTGTCTTGTTAGTTGCACAGAAATTATATTTGAATCCATAAATGATAAAAGTTTCTTCCCTCTGCAGGCAGTGTGTCAGTGCTGCCCACAGTGCTCTATCTGCTGCTTGGGGTGTTGAGAGAAGCGATGAAGGGCTCTGTTGGAGCTGAGAGTGGACAGCTGGGACCAGGCATCCTACAGGCTTTGCGCACTGTTCTCACCTCTCCCATGAGCAGAGCTGAGAAGAGTCGTGGGGCCTGGACTGAACTACTGCAAAGTGCATTGCACACACTCTTGGAGTCTTGGAGTACAGGTAATTCTCTCTGTCTCATCCATCACGCTGTGTCACTGAATGTTTTAAGTTTGTTTGAGAAATAATTTGAAGAACATTCATGTTAATGGATTGTTTTGGACAGATAAAATGGAGCCTGGAGTAGATGAGGTTACCATGTTGACATCCCTCACCATCTTCCTGCTGTACTCCACTGCTGAGGTGACCACTGTGGAGCCACTGAAGACACGCTGCATCCAGACATTCAGAGCCGGTCTGGAGTCTAAGGACCCCATAGTGAGTGAAGAGGGCTGATTACAAAGCTTATGTAGTATAGAACCAAACATATAACTTTTGTACAAAAGTTTTCTAAACTGTCCTTTTTTTAAAGGAGAACTTTTACTTACCACGGATGCATTGAATTGCTCAAAAGTAACAGTGAAGACTTTTACGTTTTTACTAAAGAATTCTATTTTAAATGCTGTTTTTTTTTATTTCTATTCATCAAAGAATCCTGACAAATATATTAAGCAACACATCTGTTTTTCAACATTGATAATAATAAAAAAAAGTTTTTTAATATAATAAATCAGCATATTAGAATGATTTCTGAAGGATCGTGACACTCAATACTGGAGTAATGATGCTGAAAATTCAGCTTTGAAATCACACAAAGAAACTACATTTTAAAAATATATTTAAATAGAAAATGGTTATTTAAATTGTACTTGTAATATTTCACAATATTGCTGTTTTTACTGTATTTTTGATCAAAAAAATGCAGCCTTGGTGAGAGGAAGAGACTTGAAAAACAAATTTTAACCCCAAAGTTTACATCTTCCCTCTTAAATAAGGAGCTACAATTTGTGTATAATTCCCATATGGGGAAAAAACTATTTATTAACCTTCTCTTATGTCTTATTTCTACTTTAGGTGCTGAGCAAGAGTTATCAGTTGCTAGTATCTTTATTTCAAGGCCCAGAGCCAATAGCCAGGCCGTTTATTCTGGCTTTGGGTGGCTGTCTGGTGTCACAGCTGGAGGAAGTTGAAAAGAGTCGTCCTCAAGGCCCAGCAGAGCTACAGGCCGTACAAGACGCAATCCGAGCCCTGGAAGCACTGGTGTTTGCTGCTGACGAAACTAACCGTAAGTGACTGAAAAATGTTTATGAACATTTGATCACGAACAGTAAGTTATGATAGCATCAACAAACAATGAAAATTCATTTGGCTGTAAATTTGTTTTTAATGTTACTGTTAGCAAAATGTTGTAGTGTTGCTGTTATTCGGAGACCAAGAAAATCAAGTCAGGATTTGTTTTATCCATGCAGGTCCACAGCTGGTGGCTGTGCTGTTGCCCATCCTCATCTCTCTTCTGCTAGATGAAAATGCTTTGGCATCGGCTCCGGCGGCCTCTCGCTCACTGCACGAGTCCGCCTTAAGAGACCTCATGCGCATCGGCCCCCAGAACTCGGCTGTCTTTAAAGCGCTGATGGCCTCTGCCCCACACATGAAAGCCAGGCTCGAGGCAGCCGTCAAGGGCAACCAGGAGAGCGTGAACACTAAGGCACAAGTACCTCGGGTCATTAGCAAAAACACACCCAGCATTCAACTGAAGATCAATTTCCTATGAATCCTCCTTAATGGTTATGATTACGACTGTATTATGATTTGAATGACTGAGTGAATCTTTTAATCAATAGTGTTTTTAAAGATAAATCAGATGAAAATGTGTCGTTTAATAATTGTAGTCAGTTTTAAAACCACATTAACCTCTGTGAGGAACTTAATATTACTAAAAGGAAAGTTTGTTTCACAGGTAAACAGCTGGGAGTGAATTTTTAAATGGCTTCCATTTATATAAACTTTTTTGTTTGTTTGTTTTAATAGTTAGCTTGCCAACAAGCTTGAATAATTTTCTGTTATGCATAGCATGATATGTTGTGAGAAGTCTTTTATTATTGTGTCTGTACAAAGAATGCAAATCATTCATTTCTGCAAGATCAACTCCAGTGCTGGTGATCAGTTATCTGTTTAACTCTACATATACAAATTTAGTGCACCGTCAAATATTTTAAATATAAAGAGAGTTTCACTTATTCACATGTTATGAATGTACTTATGATAAAGCATTACAAATTAATACTTTTCTGCTCTTTCTGCCACATGAGAAATAAAATCATGCTTTCATTAATCATAATGACAAAGTTATCATTATGACTTGCTAAGTTAAGAATAATGGACTATTATGGCTTATCTCAATATTGACTGTCATATTTTTGACTGTCACTTGGTTTTTACCTCATGTTTTTACTCATGTCAATGTTGACTTTATACTGTATTTCCTAATTGACAATGTAATGAAAATTATCTCATAATCTTGGCTTAGTATCTCATAAAGACTTTTTTTAATCTCATAATTAATCAAAGCTTGATTTTTATTTTATATTATGTGATGGAAATGGGCTTCATGCTCAAGATTGTACTTACCTTTAGTTTTTTCCTATATTCTAATTATACATGCAAATCTGTGTGGGTGTCACTTTATCTCAACACTTAATTATTTTGCATGTCTGACAGGCAGTATAAGTAATAGCTTGGTTATAAGTGAGCGAAAAATATGAAACATTTAGCAAAATATTATTTACTACTAAAACGCACTACAAACATGTTTACAATGCAAATGGAAGAGTTTCAGCAAATATAGGACCATTGTTTTTTGCCAGTTTGTATAGACTTCAGGTACTGTTTTTTGCTAGAAACATTGATCAATTGTGCATTTGTAACCATACCATTTTGTATGCTGTAAATTGTACAGATGAAATAGGACTAAATTAACCATTATTTTTTGATTTTACTGGAAGAATAAAATCTAGTTTTGCTTCAAGGGTTGCACTGGTTTTACTTTAGAGTAGAATCTGAGAGGGACATGGTGTGGTATGTATTAATTTGGATATGTCTAATCTATTAGGATCTCTGGATTAAATGCATAATGCATTTCATGCACAGTGCAAGTTTCAGAATGAACATTAACCCACTGAACCACTATGGCTTGATTTCAGAGAGTCAGTGTCACTGGTCACTTTCTACCATTGTGCAATCCATGTGAATGATTTGTAATTTGTGTGGCAACCTAGTTGACTGTAAATTTTGAGATGTTTTAGCGCCCCCTGTCGCTGAGCCGCTTCGCTGTTTGTTCCTGACCGCTACTGCGGAGCCTCGTGATATGCGGAGCGTCGACTAGTTCTTTCGACTGCTCTCCATTTCACTCAATATTTCACCCGTCGCCTTCCCTTTTACTTTGACCTCTACGTTACAACCATCAGACGCGGGGAATGAAGCAATATTCACATCTTGCCGTTTGACAACTTTATCCCAAGACTCATTTTGTCCACCCTGTGTGTGTTTTTTCTTCTCTTCTCGTCGTACGGCGATAAACGGTGAGTGTTTGTGTCGCTCGGCCGAGGGTTCGTTTCTCAGCCTGACAGACGCGATCAGGCCTCGGGATCCCACTCAACTTTAGCTCGGAGATTTACTGGTAAACACAAGGCCGCAGTAGTGTTACTTGGGTTTTTTATTTATTTGTTTGTATTTTAGCTTAACATTTTTTCTGACCGGTTATATTTGTGGATGGAAAATGTATTAATACCTAATACGAATGACGTAAATTAAGTTTGAGATTAATTAGGTCTGTCGAAGTGACGCTAACAGGGCGCATTTTTGCTAATCCCAGCTGATTAAACCTCCCTTTCTCAGCCGATCATTTGTGTTTTTATCATTTGCCGTGGAATTATTTCATTAAATGGGATTTTAACGAGGAAATTAAAGGGTTCTTGGCCCTGTCATGGCGTGTAATAAGCTAACATAAGCTGTCTGAACTCAAGAAAGAGGCCACAGGACTAGATTGAACGTTAATATGACTATTTATTTGCTTAACTTGCATTCTCTAACGTTTAATCGAAGATATTATGTTTGATAGCGTCGTATTGTTTGTTGTTTAAGATTTTCAGGTTTAATTAGTCTGTTTGTTCGGCTCTCAGGATCTGGTTAGATGGCCAAACATGAAGTTAAACACGCGACATGATATTATACATAAAACAAACTGTGCAATTACACAATATTAACGCTCATAGGTTCAATGTGAAGGTAACGTTAAGGTTTTATTGTGCTGCTGTATAGGCAGGTGTCATGATGACATCGGTTGCAATCAAGTTGTTTTTTTGACTCCTTAGTCAGCTGCAATGGCAAAAAGTCAAAGAACATCATTAGAATCATGTTTGTTCGTGAAACATCAAGTGTCATGAAAGCAGGAGTCACGGATAAGCTGAATGTCTGCTTAGCAGTAAACTTTTATTATTTGAAGTATTGATCTCTATGCTGTAAGAATAACAGCAGACAGAATATAAAAATACTTCACTACTTAAATTAAATTGGAGTCTGGAACTTAACGTACCTTTCTATTCGAGACTAAATTTCATTTTTCTTATTATTTAGCTTAGGTAGGAATGAGCCTGCAAAACCTGACATAAAATAAAAGTCCCTATTATGGAACATTTTTTAACCTTAGTTTAGACATAAGAACAAGTTGTCATGAGAATTTATTAATATTTTTTTGTATAAAATTTGATATATTATACTTTCATTGCCCATAAATTATGATTTGGTGAGAATATTGTGTTTACTATAAAATATTCAATATTGTGTTCATTGTGTTGTCAACTTCAGGAGAAAAATGAATGTGTCGGTTTTAGTCACAGGCCTGAAATTAGCAAACTTTAGTGACGTTATGAATATGGCCACAGCATTAAATGACATTCTGATTGCTTGTTATTTCAGTGATATTTTTATTACTGTGTATCAGACCATTTTCATAAGTATTAGTTTTCACTTCATATCTAATATGTCTTAAGAATATATTTAATGCTTAGTTTTATCATCAAAGTTCTATTCTAAAAGCAATTCTCTCGCAATACTCACAATTATAAAATCCTGTTGTATCATATATTTGATGCGTTTGAACATGATTTGAAACAAAAATGATCAAGTAAACCTTTGCTGATTCATTCCAGTATGTTAATCTTGAAATTTTAATAACAATTTAAAATGTATTATGTTACTTTATTATAAAAAAAAAAATCATTAAAGTGTTCACAGCAAAAAGGCAAGCGTACCACAATCTGAAAGTTGAACTTTTTAGAATTGTGCCTTTAAAGTAAAGGCCTTTTACTTACTGAAAAACTATTAGCTATCAATCAGAGGGCAGAAGACTCACTGTGTATGATTGTGTACAACATATTATTGGTAGTTTAAACCAAAAAATTGGCTCTAAATGAATGTATCAAATTGGATACAATCATTATAGGTTTACATTAATTAACAACAAATAAAACCTTAATAACGATATGAAGCTAAAGTTGAATGTTGTTGCTCTGGTGTACTAATAGTCTGGGAATGAACCAATCCCATTCATTTAAAGGTGGTATAATTATAGTAAACAAGTTTTCTTTCCAAGAGAAATTGTAACCCCAGAGCAATGGCATCAGAACTTGTTTTGGTTCACAATGGCCTAGTGTTACAGTTAAAAATTGGTTATGAAACCAAAAAAAAAGTAACTGAAAATATCAGCTCATGAATTAAAAAGTTATGATGAATGCATTGGCTATGGCATATATTTGTCTAATTTGATCACTATCAGGTGATGTTCATTCATATTTGGATTTTTAGAGCAGCAACACATAATGTGGTGTGCATGTGTTCAGGTTTTTTTTTTATTTTTATTTTTTCATCTCTCCATCCAGCAAATGTGTGGATTAGGCCACAGACAGTTGCTTTGAATGTCAAGTTACACAGGACATTCTTTCTGAATCAAGTTAGTCACTTAATCTGTTGATAAGTGGATCTCTCTGTTAGTCTCTAAGAAGGTGGTGGATCTATCTGAAGCATGTCTGTAGCCACCCAGCCAGTAATGGAGGACAGACTTTTGCTATTTTACATAAATCTCCCATTCTAATGATTTTATCCTCGCGCTTGGCTCAGCTAGCCTGTCTCAGGAAAGTAGTGCTGCTCTTTTCTTAAATGGTTTGTTTCTCAGAACAATAAAAGGATAGTGATTTCTGTTTGAATTGCTTACTGTGTGTTGGTGAAGAGATGGGCTGTTTAGTCCATACAGTGTGAGTCATTGATGAACTATTCATCATGGAAACTGTTGTTGGCTGAGCTTACTAATTCGCTAATCACAGCAATTTCTTTCAGTGCTTTGATTACAGGCAGCCGTTCATCATGTTTATTAGTCTGATTTACTCCTATTAGTTTACCTTTCAAGTGCTCCACCCATTTCATAATAACCAACATTTTCCATGCAATTACTCAAGGGTTGTGTTTTCAGTTCAGCACCAAACAAGTGGGAGAAGGTTGAGGTTAAGGCCCAAAGCAACATTGCCTAGGATTTTCTGTGGCGTTCTCGTCACATGTTATATCCCAGATGTCATTTCCATGCTCATATTTTGTTTCTATTTCTTATGAAGGTGACGACTTGATGAGACATCAAGAGGACCAGTGACTGCCCCTGTTCATTTCTCTCCTGCTGCTGGCGGGGTGACTGGGTGTTGGGTGGATAGGGTAGTGGGGCGTCATGGCGGACGTGGACCCGGACACACTGCTGGAATGGCTGCAGATGGGACAGGGCGATGAGCGGGATATGCAGCTTATCGCCCTGGAGCAGCTCTGCATGCTGTTGCTCATGTCAGACAACGTCGACCGCTGCTTCGAAACGTAAGTGTGAATACTGATTCTGTGCTATTTCTGTGGTTCGTTGTTTTTGATTGTAACAAAATAACTGTTGATAAATGTTTTTAATTTAATTTTAGTATTTTACAAAATGTAAAAGGGTGGTACAACAACTTGTGGAAGTGTGGCAAAGGCACTCGGAGATAAAAAAAAAAAAAAACTTAAGTTTGCCAATGGGGATTAAACCCTTTTATAAAAAAATAAAAATTGTTTAATGGTATCGTCTGATCTTAGTGTTAAAATTTTGGTGACTCTATTAGCATTCAATTTTCTGATCAGTGACTAGCATTAATTCATAAACACAAATGTCTCCACTCCAGGGATGCTTACACTAGTAATGCACCTGTATTAACATTTAGACCAAGCTAATCATTATTTTGATGTTATGGCCGACATGTTTTATCTAAAAAAAACAATTATAATGTATTTAAAACATATGAATCACTTGAATTTAGACCTCACAGCATTTTCTTAAATTTTTTATGTAATATGAACAACAAAAATCAAATCAAAAGAGGGGTGTTTGGTAAAACATTTTCCGTGGAGCTAATTTCGTTGGTAAGTAGAGCTCAATAATAATCCAACCTATGGATTTAAATTTGTTAGATATCATATGAGAATGTGTATGTATAGTCTTAAAAGTAAATATCCTATAAATAGTTGTGTAAATATGCACTGTTGGGAGAAAAATGCATTTGTAATGCTCATACTACAACTGTGAACATGTTCCCTGAGATTAAAACAAAATAAATAAATGAATACATCATTTCAGATGTATCAATCTATAGATTAAAATAAGTTTATTGCACATTTCACATTTTGAACTAAGTTAAGTCTGCTACAACTAGATAAACAAGCAACTCAGTCTAACATACAATATTAATGGGTTGCACAAGATTGTTAATGTTTTTACACGTCTTAAAAAGTGTATAATTAAATTTGTTGCATCAGCAGTGTTTCTTGCTAATTTTGTAAACTGGGTAGGCGTTGGAGGTCAGAACAAGGAAGCCACAAAAGCTGTTGAAGAAGTTCAAGACAAACAAGGAAGCACCTCGTTCTGTGGGATTATTTTGGTTTTAAATGTGATGACCACATTCAGTCACTAGTGGTTTGATCTAAGCTGTAGATCACGGGGTGGCTACCCGTAGGAGAAATACGACAGACCTCTTAAACCAAAGTTCAACAAACTGCAGTTTTTACACAAAGTTGACATGTGTAAATTAGGCCTGCCATTTCTTTATTTATTGTTGATTGTTAGGGCTGGGTTAAATATATGGATATTTTCAGTTGATGAATGAGAAAACAATCTGGCTTGTTATCTTTTGTGCTTTGTTACTTGTGATATGAAACAAAATCTCAGCTTTTGAATTTTGTCAATTTAATTAAGAAATTCAGACATATACCAGAGAATGCTCCTTTTTTTTTTTTTTTTATGTACTTGCCAGCTTTTTAATTATCTGAACGTGAGTCAGTCAAACATTATATTATGATAATCAAGCACTATTTTTATAACTAATTATTATTATTATTATTATTATTAGGTTTGCCAATTGTCTGAAGCCCATATAGAATCACGTCAATCCATTGGCTTATGGTGCGGGCGCTGCCTTGATGCTCTTACGTGGTCATATTATATTAGCACGTGCATCATCTGCTCCTCAGATTTCTCTGCCAAAAAGGAAGCTTGTCAGCAGCGCGAGGAGTTTGGCAGTGAACGCAGTGTCTCGTTCCCTATTCAGAGGGAATAGGGAGTTAACCCTTTCATTGGTTTACTCAAAGCTCCGTAGCTAAGACGCGGTGGGAACGAAATACCAAACTCGCCAAGCTATGTGCTGCGTAACTAGTACAATGACCAGATAATTTACATGACTGATTCAAGCAAACAAAACATGGGAACCTGTAGCCATGTCAATATTAGATTACCTGGTAGTAATCTCTATTAATCTCCAGTTTTATTGCATTGTTTTATACAGTATTGTTTTATTTGATATTATTTAAATCTGAATTTATTTTATATTGGTTTATTTATGATTACCATATGTTACTTGTCATTATATTGTTTTAAGTTAATATTCTGTCCAGTTTGGCTCTGTAAATAAAAGGATATTATTTTTGACACATATTTTTGGTGTGTGCGGTTTTCTTTTTCTTAAGTACCGTTTCAAGAACCGCTTAAGCACCTGCACCGTTTAAAAAATACAGAGTAGGTACTGGTGGTATCTATCGGATAAAACTCAACCGATACCCTGAAGTTTACTGAGTGGAAGTTCTCCCCTTACTAGACATTCTGATTTTTGATTCTTGACAGAAAAATACAACAAAGAACATTATTTACGTGTAGCCCATTGATTCTGCGTGGTATGTAAGACATGCGCAATGTTTTAGATAGGTAGGCGAGTGTAAACTCATGAATCGGATATGGGTCACATTTGAAAGAACGTGTAATCGGACCGTCAAAAATATCGGATCAAGACCTGCAGTGTAAACGAGAGCTTTGAGAGGTTTGCATAATGCTTTGTTTACATAGAACATGAGACATGCATATTAGATATAATTATTTTCTGGCTTTAAATAATAAGTGATTTGTTGCATCGCATATCACCATTGTGCTATTCAACAAGTAAATCATGAATTGCTGTTATCGTGCAGCCCTAATGTGTATCTTCATTTCACTCTGACCACTGTCTCGCCACCATAGGTGTCCTCCACGGACATTTCTCCCAGCTCTGTGTAAGATCTTCCTGGATGAGAGCGCACCAGATAACGTGCTGGAAGTGACAGCCAGGGCCATCACCTACTACCTGGACGTTTCTGCTGAATGCACCCGCAGGATTGTGGGAGTAGATGGAGCCATCAAAGCCCTGTGTAACCGGCTAGTGGTGGTGGAGCTTAACAACAGGACCAGCAGAGATCTGGCTGAACAATGTGTAAAGGTAAATATTGCTTTATTTGGCTGGTGTTTTTTTTTTTTTCAATTAAATTATAATTATTTTTTATAATTATAACAACTTTTCAGTCAATATGCTAATATGAGGTTTAACAGTTGAAATGATGCTCTATGAAGCTACTTGATTTTTACAAAGGTGCAGTAAATTCCACTATGCATGATGGTCATATCATATACCGTCTTGTCATCAGGTTCTGGAGCTGATCTGCACACGGGAATCTGGAGCTGTATTTGAAGCGGGTGGACTGAACTGTGTGTTGAGCTTCATTAGGGACAGCGGTCATCTTGTGCACAAAGACACATTGCACTCTGCCATGGCAGTAGTTTCTCGCCTCTGTAGTAAGATGGAGCCACAGGACTCTTCCCTTGAGACATGTGTGGAGTCCCTGTCTAGTCTGCTGAAACATGAAGACCACCAGGTAGTACATAACTAAAACTTATGGTTCACCCAAAAATTTGCACTATATTTTGTGTGAGATAAATTTCAGTCCGTTCCTCACAAAAGGCTACAGAAGACTTTAAAGTGTTAGTTCACCCAAAAATTAAAATTATGTCAGTAATCACTCACCCTCATGTTGTTCCAACCCCGTAAGACTTTGGTTCATATTCAGAACACAAAACATCTCAATCCTTCATAGGGTGCAAGGTAATAGATATCTGCTAGCCCAGGAAAGTTAAAGACATCGTTAAAATAGACTAGACTACAGAGGCTCAACCTTAAGTTCATCAAGCAACTAGAATATTGTTTGTGCGCAAAAATAACGACTTTATTCAACCATCTCTTCTCTTCCATGTCATTCTCCTAAGCTGTTTTGTCACACATGACCAGCATTGGCCAAAAGTGTATGTCTATGTTCTGACGTACAGCCCAGAAGCGCTGTGCTGTTATACTATGAACTTTTTGTTTTTGCATACAAAAAGTATTCTCGTCGCTTGGTATACTTTAGGTTGTGCCGCTGTAGTCACTTGGACTATTTTAACAATGTCTTTACCAACTTTTCTGGGCTGGCAGTTATCAATTACCTTGCAGCCTATGAAGGAGTGAGACGGCTCTCAAATTTCATCAAAAATATCTTTGTGTTACGAAGATGAACTAAAGTCTTATTGGGTTGGAACAATGTGAGGGTGAGTAATTACATTAGCATTTTTGGGTGAACTAACCCTTTAAAATTCCGCTCTCATTCAAAAGTTTGAGGTAGTTTAAACTTTTTTGTTTGTTTGTTTGTTTAAAAAAGACTCTGCTCTCCAAGACTATTTAATTGATCAGAAATACAGTAACAACAGTAATATTGGAAAATATTACAATTTAAAAGAACTGTTTTCCATTTTAGCAGTCTTCAGTGTCACATGATCCTTTAGAAATCATTCTAATATTTCAATGTTGCAAACAATTTAGGTGCTTAATATTTTTGTGGAAACTACTAAAATTACGATTCTTTGATGAAAAGAAAGTTCAAAACAACAGCATTTTGTAACATGATAAATGGCTTTTACTCTCCTTTTCATTCAATTTAATGCATCCTAATAGGTATAGAGAACTGGCATTGATGGTAAAAATGACGCACAAATGTAACATGAAAAACTAAATTATAATTGTCCTGGTGAAATCCACAGGTGTCTGATGGAGCTCTGCGCTGCTTTGCTTCACTGGCGGACCGGTTTACACGGCGTGGAGTTGACCCAGCCCCATTAGCTAAGCATGGACTGACAGAAGAGCTGCTGTCCCGTATGGCTGCGGCAGGAGGGACGGCATCTGGACCCTCTTCCACCTGCAAGCCTGGCAGGACCTCTAGTGGAGCTACTCCATCTGCTGCAGACTCTAAACTAAGCAACCAAGTGTCCACTATTGTCAGTCTGCTCTCTACACTCTGCAGAGGCTCACCACTTGTCACACATGTAAGATATATATTCACAGAAATATTCTAGCCATTTACTAGATGAAATCCCAGTTTCTACTGGTTACATTTTATGGACATTTGTGTTTCCTCTCCTCCTTCAGGATCTCCTGCGCTCAGAGCTGCCTGACTCCATGGAGAGTGCTTTGCAGGGGGATGAGCGCTGCGTGCTGGACACCATGCGGCTGGTGGACTTGCTGCTGGTGCTGCTCTTTGAGGGCCGCAAGGCTTTGCCCAAATCCACAGCTGGTTCTACCGGCCGTATCCCTGGTCTGCGGCGTCTTGACAGCTCCGGGGAACGTTCCCACCGACAGCTTATTGACTGTATACGCAGCAAAGACACTGATGCTCTCATTGATGCCATTGACACCGGTGGTAAGTGTTTGAGTAGTGCATGCAAGATCAATATATTAGGTGGGAAGGACTTTGAAGGCTTTGAGGCGACATCCTACCTGACTTGTACATTTTACTTTTTTTCCCTCCCCCTGAAAGCATTTGAAGTGAATTTCATGGATGATGTAGGACAGACTCTCTTGAACTGGGCATCTGCATTTGGAACACAAGAGATGGTAGGCTTTATTTATTTATAGCTGTTTTTGTTTTTTTCAGTGCACATGTTACACGAAATTACCTTTTAGACAGTGCAATAGCATGAGCAAACAAACCACATACTTATGAATAAAGGTTACATGCTGAATTTATGACGACACTATTCTTACGTTGTGCAATATGGTTATGTGGAGGAGACACGGCTGAATTGGCATGATTGTAATTCTGGCTGACTCAGGCATTCTGGCTGAATTCTGGCAGCAGCAGTATTACAAATGCCCTGCGTAATGAAAATAAATGCAACCTAATTTTTTGGCCCTCTTGGTCTGGTGATTGCTTGCGTAAGTTAGAAGAAAGGGGTCAGTGAAACAGATGAACATAGATTTCTGATTACTGCAAGGTCTCACTGTATTCTGCTTAAGGTGGAGTTCCTCTGTGAGAGAGGTGCTGATGTCAATAGAGGCCAGAGGTCATCCTCTCTGCACTATGCTGCCTGTTTTGGCAGGCCACAAGTAGCCAAGGTAAAGTGTTTGTCATGTGACCTAGGATTTCTATATTCATTATACATTGTTATTAACACATTATATTTATTTTATGGCATTTGTTTTTCACAATAGACTTTACTGCGCCATGGGGCCAACCCTGACCTGAGAGACGAAGATGGAAAAACTCCGTTAGACAAAGCTAGAGAAAGGGGACACAGTGAGGTTGTAGCAATTCTCCAGTCACCTGGTGAGTCCATCAGCTTTTATCTTCACTTCATGACATTTCAGTTAACCACTGGTATCGGTCACACCAATAAAATATGTGTGTTGTTTCCCCTTGGCTATTTGAAAGTAAATGCTTCAGAAGAATAAAGCTAAATTGTTCTTATGTTCTTAGAATGCAGAGGCTATTGTAAACTATTTGTATGCTATTTTTTGCTGAAAAATGTCAACACTGAGGCCATATGGTGCAACCAGAACATTGCCTTTGTCATTTCTCAAATCAGTCAGACACCGCAGTATTGGCTAAACCAATTGTGTGAATTTGGGACAGAGTAGCTTGTTTGGACAACCAGTGGCAGATGATGGAGTGTTTGGAAAGCCCTGTTTAAAAACTATTATTTTTGCACTTTGTGGTGATGCTGGTGGCATAGAAATTACACCCTTGTCCTTTAATGCAGTCACTCACCATTCATTTCATAATGATGACTTCCATAAGTTTGTAGATTTTTCAGATAAAGAGTTTCTTGTTATGTGTGATGTAGGAGACTGGATGTGCCCTGTCAACAAGGGGGATGACAAGAAAAAGAAGGATATTAATAAAGAAGAGGAAGAGGGCAGTGAGCCGAAAGGTGACCCTGAGATGGCACCCATCTACCTGAAAAGGCTGCTCCCAGTATTTGCACAGACCTTTCAGCAAACCATGCTGCCTTCAATAAGGTGAGGGGTTAATGTGGACCATCAGTGTTGAAGTACATTTTTTCAACAACAACAAAAGTGCTATATTTAGTGCTATTTTTTGCATTTTGGATAACAGTTTGCATCATCTCTTTTACAGGAAAGCCAGTTTAGCTCTGATCAGAAAAATGGTGCACTACAGTTCTGAAGTTCTTCTTAAGGAAGTGTGTGACTCTGATGCTGGACACAACTTGCCCACTGTACTTGTGGAGATCACTGCAACTGTCCTGGATCAGGAGGTCAGATAATTTAGTCTTTCCCTCTTAATGATCTTTTTTTTTTATTTAATAGGGCTAAAGTTAAGTCTTGCTGACCTTTCTTCTCCTCTCTCACAGGATGATGATGATGGTCACCTGCTGGCACTTCAGATCATTAGGGATCTAGTGGATAAGGGAGGTGATGTGTTTTTAGATCAGCTGGCCAGACTGGGTGTCATTAATAAGGTGTCCACTCTGGCAGGACCCACGTCAGATGATGAAAATGAAGAAGAGGCCAAGCCTGAGAAGGTCTGAATCAACTCATTTTAGATTCATGTCTTTATTGTTGTGCAATTATTTTGTAAAAAAAAAAAAAAAAATCTTGAAAATATTTAGAAATTGCTCGAAGTTCATCTTTTTCTGTTTTCTAGGATGATGAACCACAAGAGGATGCCAAAGAGATCCAGCAGGGGAAGCCCTACCACTGGAGAGACTGGTCCATCATCAGAGGCAGGGACTGCCTTTATATCTGGAGTGACGCAGCTGCTTTGGAGCTCTCCAATGGAAGCAATGGTTGGTTCCGCTTCATCCTGGATGGTAAACTGGCCACCATGTACTCCAGCGGAAGCCCAGAGGGTGGCTCTGATAGTTCGGGTTGGTCCCCCTCACACAGATTCCTCGATCAATGAAAAAACAAAATTACTTCCTGACACCAGTTGAATAAATTTGATTTCTTTGATCAACTCCTGTGTGCTCTAATAGCTGATGCTTTCTTTCCCTCCTACCTGTAGAGAGCAGAAGTGAGTTTCTGGAGAAGCTGCAGCGTGCCAGGAGTCAGGTCAAACCAGTGACAGCCAGCCAGCCCATTCTGTCCACACAAGGTCCCACCAAACTCACTGTGGGCAACTGGTCTCTCACTTGTCTGAAAGAGGGTGAGATTGCCATCCATAATTCAGATGGCCAGCAGGCCACCATCCTCAAAGAGGACCTACCAGGCTTTGTGTTTGAGTCAAACCGAGGCACTAAGCACTCTTTCACGGCAGAAACCTCTCTAGGTAAGTTTGAAATAATAGATTAAAAGTGTTTTTTTTTTTTTTTCAGTATGTTTCCTAATTAACTCAGTTATTGGTGCCTCTGTTTTGTAACAGGGTCTGAGTTTGTTACTGGCTGGACTGGTAAGCGAGGAAGAAAGCTTAAATCCAAATTGGAAAAAACTAAACAGAAGGTATGATTACTGAGAATTTATTTTATCCTTTAGAACTTGACTCATAATTTTGACCATGCCTATTTGAGCCATGGTTGCACAACTGTTCAAAATTTGAGGTCATCCTTGTCACATGATCCTTCAGAAATCATTCTGTTATGCTGATTTGGTCCTCAAGTGCTCAAATTTGAATGTAATGCAAGCTCACTATATCTTGCAGCGATGTTATTACTTCTGTGGCGGATTCAGATCCTTGTTTATTGGATTTCTTAGTGCTGTGTAGTAACAGTTTTGCTTGATCAAGATTGGCATGCGTTGCTCTGACGTTGGTCAACTCATAACGGTCCGTTAGGCAAAAATGATTAGCGCAGATTCATTCCGCTTTCATCACGTTTGCCATTTGATGTTGGGCAACATTGTGCTGGTCATGCCAGTGTGAATGAACAAAATTTTTTACCGGAAGGAAAAATGGTCCAATGAATCGTTTGGTTTCAAATGTGTGCCGAACCGAAAGCCTTGTACCGAACGGTTCAATACAAATACCTGTACCGTTACACCCCTTCTGTAAACCCCATAGAAAATATTTTTTCCACATCTGTGTCTGTAGGTGAAAACCATGGCCAGAGATCTGTACGACGATCACTTCAAGGCTGTGGAGAGTATGCCGAGAGGGGTAGTGGTCACTTTGAGAAACATTGCTACCCAGCTAGAGTCTGCTTGGGAGTTGCATACTAACAGACAGGTATAATTATGCTAACTTTGTCAGTTTATTTTATCTTCCATGTAGTTGAGGTTAAAAAGAAAATAATGGTAAGATTTTGTTGCTTTTTTCCCCTCAGTGTATTGAAGGTGAAAACACATGGCGAGACCTCATGAAAACAGCTCTGGAGAATTTAATAGTCGTTCTCAAAGATGAGAACACCATTTCTCCATATGAAATGTGCAGCAGTGGCCTCGTGCAAGCACTTTTTACTGTCCTCAGCAATGTGAGTCACACATACAAGACTACATTACTGTCAGTTGTAAACATGTCAACGTTGATTCCCAATACTCATTACTCTTTTACTTTATTTACATGTTTGTGTCACAGAGTGTGGAACTAGATGTGAAACATGATTGTAAGCCTCTGATGGAAAGAATAAATGTGTTCAAGACTGCGTTTACTGAAAATGAAGATGATGAAAGGTAAAGTATATCTTGTCTTACACATAAGTTCATTGTGTCCTACCTAGGCACTAATTTGTTTTTGTTTGTCATACATTTAATTGTTTCTGTTTTCTAGCCGACCCGCAGTTGCCTTAATCCGCAAACTGATAGCAGTGTTGGAGTCAATAGAGCGGCTACCTCTACACTTATATGATACACCAGGCTCAACGTATAATTTACAGGTCAATCTCTATGTTTGGATGTGTATTTTTAGTTTTGGTGCATGTGAAACAGTGACATCTTTCATTATGAATTATAATTTAATTTAAATCTTTTTCTGTCGTGTTAGATACTGACAAGGAGGTTACGCTTCCGCTTGGAGCGTGCTCCAGGTGAAACGGCCCTGATTGATCGTACTGGTAGAATGCTAAAGATGGAGCCGCTGGCCACTGTTGAGTCACTGGAGCAGTATCTACTCAAGATGGTAGGAAAGCTTTTTTGTTTATTTCTTCTGTTCCAAATTTACTGCTCTGTATCTCCACACGAATCTGAGAAAAGATCATAACTTTGTCTCCTCCCTTTCCCCAGGTGGCCAAGCAGTGGTATGACTTTGACAGGTCCTCATTCATCTTTGTTAGGAAGCTCAGAGAGGGCCAGAGCTTCACCTTCAGGCACCAACATGACTTTGACGAGAACGGAATTGTGTACTGGATTGGCACCAACGCGAAGTGAGCAGATTTGTCTTTTTTTGCACTACCAATTTTAATTAAAACCTATATAAATAATCAACAAAGATCATTCTCATACTCTGAAACACAATATGACCCATTTAGAAAAAATTATGCATAAGAAAGTTATTCCTTTTCCGTTTGTCCACAGGACTGCGTATGAATGGGTGAACCCAGCTGCTTATGGATTAGTGGTGGTGACCTCTTCAGAGGGCAGAAACTTGCCTTATGGCCGACTTGAAGACATCCTGAGCCGAGACAGCTCAGCCCTCAACTGTCACACCAACGATGATAAAAACGCATGGTTTGCCATCGACCTTGGTTTATGGGTCATCCCTTCTGCGTACACACTTCGCCACGCTCGTGGATACGGTCGGTCCGCCCTCCGTAATTGGGTATTTCAAGTGTCCAAAGATGGCCAGAACTGGATGACACTTTACACGCATGTGGATGACAGCTCTCTCAATGAGCCAGGGTATGTGTGTTATTGTGTTGTATTTTGCCTGCTTTTATAATAGACTGCTATTATTGCTTTTTTTTAATTAATTTTTTGTGGGTGCACATACTTGTATGACTCATGTTACTGCATTAGGTCGACAGCCACTTGGCCTCTGGATCCATCCAAGGATGAGAAGCAGGGCTGGAGACACATTCGTATTAAACAGATGGGGAAGAATGCCAGCGGACAAACACACTACCTCTCCCTTTCTGGTCTAGAGATCTATGGCACTGTTACTGGTGTGTGTGAAGACCAGCTGGGTAAATGCCACTAATTTCTAATACTACTTATTGTCATATTGTAATTTAATTATAATATTTATGCTTACTCAAGAGCTGTTTCTTGTCCGCATGTGAATGTATTTGACGTGACTGACCTAATTGCAGTAATCTAACCATCTGAATTTTTTTTTTTATTTATTTATTTTTTTTTTCCTGTTGGGATTTGGTTCCCAAAGCAACATAATTCATAATGCAACTACTACATATTTCTCCAAACTCTTAAGTTTGGCTTTAAAGTTGCGATGTGAAGGAAGTGAAATCGATTATCGAAAAGAGGCTTTTTTTTTTTTGATTTTAGATCAAAGACAATAATAATTTACATTTAATGCCAACTTTAAAAAGACATCTCTCATCATGACAGTATTGGATACTGATTAACCTATTAACTGGAAGTCATTAAAAGAGCTCTTGAGTAAGCATATTTTAAATTCTCTAAAGTATCACAAAAGAAAAATGACCATCATTAATTGCATGCCTTTTTTTTTTAATTTGACGTTGCTTTGTCTCTGCTCATGTTTCCAATCAGCCAAGGTTTGTTCTGCATTGTCAGGTAAAGCAGTTAAGGAGGCAGAGGCCAACTTGAGACGACAGCGCCGTCTCTTTCGCTCTCAGGTGATGAAGTACATAGTTCCAGGGGCACGGGTGGTGCGTGGCATTGACTGGAAGTGGAGGGACCAGGATGGCAATCCTGCTGGAGAGGGCACTGTGACCGGAGAGGCCCATAATGGTGAGAATTTGATTCACTTCTTTGGCTCTTCGTGTGTGCATCCAACAGTTTGGTAGCTTGTGTAGGACAGCACAATGTGTAATGCTTATGCCATAGCAGATTTCTGTTCAGCGGTTTTCAAGGCATCACTGCATCGGACCACTACATTACTGACCAATCAACAACAATGGAGTTCAGTGGTACTTCAGTGTTTAAGGGAAACAAATTGTGAACATCAAGTGCATTTGCATGTTTTAGAGCTTTCTGCAGCAAATCCATCAAAAGTGAGGGGGGAGATGGAGTTAACCATTACTGACGTTCACACAGTAAAACAACTAAAGTTAAATCACATTTGGACTTGTTTTCCCATCTTGCCTCAGAGCGACTGTTTTCAGACCAGCCCTTATTATTTTCAAGTGACTTCACTAATGCTTTGTGTATTTAAAGAAAATTAAACTGTGGTGGGGTTGATCTGAAACTAGTCTTTTTTTCCCATGTGTTAACTTCCCTATATGGTGCTTTTTTCCTCTTGCTTCTATTCTGCATGAAGAAATGATAAACTATCTGTTTCACACTCTGAAGTTCAATGATACGTGTTAGATTACTACTTTTTGCTCTCTGCAACTGTCATTCCATACTTTTTTGTTTTTGTTAGTTTGCTATTTTGAAGTGCAACCTTTATCCCTCCCCCCCAACTTAACAGGTAACATTTTTACATATCCTACTCGTATTTTCTTTAGCATCCCCTCTGTTGCTATTGATTCTTTGGGCAGCTATGTCTCGGTGTGTAAAACAGCCTTTTTAACCTGTCTCCATCAGTCAAGCCAAGTGCATGTTGATGTCACAATTTGCAAGCTCCGAACGAACTCCATTGCAAGTGTATTTGACACTGACCGAAATGATTCTTCTGTTCTTTTTCTTAAGTGGCTTTGTAGCTTGGCATTTGCAAAATTCTACTGCTTTTTTGTTTTGTTTTTTAATTTGTCATTTTCTGTGCTTCATGTTTCTACCTCACTGCTTCACCTGGACCAGAGTTATTTGGTTGTCCTCTTAGATGATTGTCAGTTGTATGAATATGAATTGAATAGGTTTGGCACAAAACAAAACAAAATTTGACCTCATCGAATGGTCTTGGTTTATTCTGTTGTTTCTGGTCCAGTGTCAAGCAAAAGCTGTTGTCTTTGACTTGCTGCTGTCTCTCTCTGCTCTCTTGCTGGGTCTCACCCGTTCATATCCCCCCTCCCCCACTTTCCAGGCTGGATTGATGTCACCTGGGATGCCGGTGGCTCAAACTCGTATCGTATGGGTGCGGAAGGGAAGTTTGACCTCAAGCTTGCGCCAGGGTACGACCCTGAGTCAGCGCCGTCACCCAAACCTGTCTCATCCACTGTTGCAGGCACACCGCAGTCCTGGAGCAGCCTGGTGAAAAATAACTGCCCAGACAAGGGTGGCTCATCCTCCACAGCGGGGGCCAGTTCCTCCAGCCGCAAGGGTAGTAGCAGTTCGGTGTGTAGCGTGGCCAGCAGCAGCGATTTAAGCCTCAGTTCCACCCGAGTGGAGCGCAGGGTCGAGAGCCTGTTGGAGCAGGGAGTAAGCATCGTCGGAGGGCCCCCGGGGGCGGAGGGCCAAGAACCAATAGTTGTGCTTTCCTCTGCAGAAGCCGGCTCTGTTTCCAGCACCAGCACACTAACGGCGGACACGGGAAGCGAAGGCGGCGAACGTAAAACACCAGCACCCGATGGCACTTCGCCCGCCATCTCTATGGGAATCGTGAGCGTTAGCTCTCCTGACGTCAGCTCGGTTTCAGAGTCGTCTAGTAAGGACGCTGCATCCCAGAGGCCCTTGTGCTCTGCCACCAGCGCGCGGCTCTCCGTCAGCTCACTATTGGCAGCTGGAGCGCCCATGAGCTCCAGTGCCAGTGTCCCCAACTTGTCCTCCCGCGAAGCCAGCTTGATGGAGTCGTTCGTCCGCAGGGCGCCCAACATGTCTCGCACCAATGCCACCAACAACATGAACCTGAGCCGAAGCAGCAGCGACAACAACACTAACACGCTGGGGCGCAATGTCATGAGCACTGCCAGTGAGTATCTTCAACTGCCCATTCTTCTAGGAGCCAGTACTTTAGATCAGTGGTTTTCAGCTTTTGTAGGCCCCTAGAGGAATTTTGTTATTAGAACCTAATTTTTCTTTTGGGCCCTGCCAATTACTTTAAATTTAAAGTATTTTAATTAAATAATAAATTGAATAGCTCATTATTAATTGAAATAATGAAGTTTCCAGACTAAATGTTCTGAAGTGTTTTCACTTTCACATTTTAACCAATGAATTTACATGACTCTTTTATTCAGTCGTGATTTACTGGATAAGTATTTTCATATATACATACACTCATATCCATATAAGTAGGCGTATTTACTTTTCTGTAGGCTGTATAGCATGCTTTATTAATACGGTGTGGTCAGAAATTGATCTTTTAATATGTCTTAGGATATCAAGCCATTAAGTGTTTTTCGGATACAATTTGAAAAGACTCAAACGGACACAGACAGAGTGAAAGACTAGATTTTTTAGTTGTTTCGATCAGCTAGGGTACAAGCGATTTCAAAACATATTTGCTGGTTTTAATTTGATTCTTGGATGCTGTGAACATGTTTAGCTAAGAAGATTGCCACTCCAGTTTAGCGTTTATTATTGACTGCAGTTAAAAAGACAAATAAAAATATAAAGAAATTATTAAAATAACAAAATTATGGCCAGATTTGTCAACTTTTTGGGGTTCTAATTTAACTATTTGTGGCTTGTATTTTGAATATGTTCCCCTGCTCTTTAGGCATTTGCACACATTTGTTCTTTACTTTGTGACTTGATTCTGACTTATTTCGGTTTGTATTTTTATTTATTAGAAAGGTATGTTCTGTTTTAAATTAATTAAGTAAAAAGTAAAATTTAGATCATATGTTAAGGGTTTTCTGGATATATATTTTTTAAGAAACAAACAGTTGTTGAGAGGGTGAATGAATATCTTGATTAAGCTTATTTTAATGCTTTTTGTTATCAAGACCCTGGCTTCCTGTTTGAGAACCAATGTTTAGATGTCCTTTTAGCTTTATTAATGACAACTTAAATGGAGGCTTATTATATTTGTTAATCAAATAACGAATATTCTCAGAAAAATTTAGTCATTTGTTGCCTTAGAAATTGCACTCGGAAAGCATGCAAGTATAGAAGTGATAGTACTGCATTGTAAATACCACTATTTCATCTGTAAGCTTGCCTTTTCTTTTTCAGGATATTTTAGTCCTTATGTAATGGCAATCATTTTGTTGAATTTATTTTTGAGTAACATCCTGCTCCAGAGTATATTCTGTGAATATTAACAGGATTCTAATATTGGCCATGATTTGCATACTGCAGCCATTTTAAGCATGTTTAGTTTCTAGAGCAAGCTTTTGATTTCAGTTAACTGCTTATTTAGTTTTTTTTTTGTAGACTAATCACAGTTTTTGGGTTTTGTTTGCAGCTTCTCCTCTTATGGGTGCACAGAGCTTTCCTAACCTTACAACCACTGGTACCACCTCAACTGTTACAATGTCCACCTCTATAGTAACCAGCAGCAATAATGTAGCCACGGCAACTACAGGTTTGTCCGTCGGCCAGTTGCTCAGTAACACGCTGACGACCAGCCTGACCTCTACATCTAGCGAGAGTGACACAGGTCAGGAGGCTGAGTTTTCACTCTATGGTAGGCCATGTTACATTTATTATACACTCTCTCTTTTCCCTCACCCTCAATTGTTCTAGTACATCCCCTTCCTCAGCCTTGTTTCTCTTTTTTTTTTTTTTTTTATAAATATTAATCTCTAATTTTATGTTTTTGCTTATTACTAAACTAATTACTCAGTCTTGTCCTCTGAATTCATCTCATTGATATTTTTTTTTTTTAAATATGAAGGCTGATTTATTTTCATTGTCTTCTGCTCAGACTTCCTGGACAGTTGTCGGGCCAACACATTGCTTGCCGAGTTAGATGACGAGGAAGACTTGCCAGAGCCAGATGATGACGATGATGAGAATGAGGATGACAATCAGGAAGAACAGGAGTATGAGGAAGTTCTGGTACGGTCCAGGGTCAACCTTGGTTACCACGTTCATATTCATAGGGTAAAACCTGTTGTAGTTTCAATAATAGTACAGTGGAAATCCTTTATTTTTGGTTTTCTTCGTCTTCTCCTCTCTGGTTACTTGAAATTTGGTGTTTATTAAATTTTTTTAGTTTGGTGAAGTGTTTTTTTTTTTTTTTTCTTCTTCTTTGGGTTAAGAATGTATTTGGTGTTCCAGGTTCGTTTTTGTTCCAGCATGTTTCCTCTGTGTAGCATGTCTTTGGTTAGGTGAAATATGTGTTTCACATTTGCAAGCTGTTGAGCATTATATGTAAGAGAGCTTTACCACTCTGCTTTTTCAATGGTGGCCTAAAAGGAGGAAGAGGAGTATGAAACCAAAGGGGGTCGGCGCAGGACATGGGACGACGACTTTGTGCTAAAGAGACAGTTTTCTGCTTTAGTACCTGCATTTGACCCTAGACCAGGCCGCACCAACGTCCAGCAAACTACTGACCTGGATATCCCTACACCAGGTACTGGTGACAAAATTAATTCTCACACTGTTGGCTGCAGTACATTACAGATTTTTCATTTTTGGGTAGACTATCCATTCAACAATAGGGAGTCAATAGCCTGAGTCAAACACAGCAATCCATTGTGATTTTGCATGGCTCATGTTTAATGTGTACAGGTACACCTCGCTCAGAGGTACAAGAGGAGGTGGAATGCACTCCTTCACCCCGTCTGGCTCTCATCCTGAAAGTAGCAGGGTTAGGGACTACACGAGAAGTAGAGCTACCTCTCACCAACTACAAGTCCACCATTTTCTATTATGTCCAAAAGCTTCTCCAGCTCTCATGCAATGGTGCTATTAAACCTGACAAGCTTAGACGCATCTGGGAACCTACATATACGTGAGTCTAATGTTTTACAGTTCTTTTCAGTATTCAAACTTTTGTAGTCATTTTCGTAGTGCTTTTCCCCCAGAAGTCTGTTAACAAACATTGTTTTTTTTTTGTAGGATAATGTACAGAGAATTGAAGGACTCTGACAAAGAAAGAGAGAGTGGAAAGATGGTAATGACACGTTTTTAATGTTTCTCCTCCACTCTATCTCTTTACCTATCTTCCTTTCATTCACTCTCTTTGGCTCATTAAAATCTTGGCTGTGATTTTTCTGTGGCTGTCCCCGATGTGTAAATGCTCCTTCTCAGTAAATTGTCTGTCAGACGTCACTAACATTATAGTCAGAAGACTGTGAAATGACCCCAGTGGTATCTATTGTTAAATGCACGGGCTTCTCTAGTGGTTAAGCCTACTGTAATGCATGTATATTGCGTGAGACTTTACAATCAGGAAAGACCAACATTTGGTTCTTCCTGTTGTAGGGTTGCTGGTCTGTAGAGCATGTGGAACAGTACCTTGGCACAGATGAATTACCAAAGAATGACTTGATAACCTACATGCAGAAGAATGCAGACTCAACTTTCCTGCGCCACTGGAAATTAACCGGCTCTAATAAAAGTATTAGGAAAAACAGAAATTGTTCACAGCTCATAGCTGCATACAAGGTATAGAATGCCATCGGATGTGCATATATATCTGTACATACCATCTTTATTTTCCCTTTTATATTTTTGAGTATTTTTTTTCTCTTTCTTGCTTGACTGTCACTTGTGCAGCCACCTGTTAGACAGTTGTTGTAAATTCTATTGCCTAAATGGGTGTAAATGTTGTGCCATGAAGGTTTAGCTGTCATTGTGGACTTTCTCTATTTGCTTTGATTTTTTTGATTTTTTTTTTGTCGTCTTTGGCCATAAACTATATAATTTGGTAAAAATTTAGTAATTGCGTTGTTATAGGTATGTTGTGATGATGATGATGATGATAAAATGGTTGGGAGGAAAAATGAAGGGTAGTTTGTGTTAACAGTACTTGCATGGTTTTACAGGACTTCTGTGAGCGTGGCTGCAGATCTTCAGGCCTGGGTTCAGGGACTTTGTCCGCCACACAGAGCTGTGACATCCTGAGTGCTGCACGTGAGCAGGCTCAGGCCAAGGCGGGCTCAGGCCAGAGTGCATGCAGCGTAGAGGACGTACTGCAGCTCCTTCGCATCCTCTTCACCATCGGAGGAGAACCTTCATCTGGCCGCACACTACAGGAAGGTAAGGAGTGCCTTCCCAGAGCATTGTCTTGAACCAGTTGTATTTGCTTCCATTTTTATAAATTTATAAGTCACATTTATTTGTGTAGATGTGGAAGAGCTACAGTTCAATGCATCACCTGAGGAATTCACCAGCAAAAAAATTACAACCAAAATCCTGCAGCAGATCGAGGTAATCTGACTTGTTCAATGTAGTTTTTTGTTTTTTTTATGCATGTTATACATTGTAGATGCAGGTTAGTTCAAAAGTCAGGTCTGTATAATTTTTCTTTTTTGATTATAGAAATAAATACTTTTATTCATCTAGGATGCAATAAACTGATCAAAAGCCACAGTAAAAACATTTATGATGTTACAAAAGATTTCATTGTCTTTTAGGAGCCACTGGCCCTGGCTAGCGGGGCTCTCCCTGACTGGTGTGAGCAGTTAACCAGCAAGTGTCCTTTCCTCATACCCTTTGAAACCCGGCAGCTTTATTTTACATGCACTGCGTTTGGAGCCTCCAGGTTTGTGCTTACAGTTTTCAAAGTGATCTTTACTTCATTCATACAAATCTGAAATTGCCGTTTGAGAATTTGCATCTCTCTCTAGGGCTATTGTCTGGCTCCAAAACCGAAGAGAAGCCACTATGGAGCGTTCCCGGCCATCCACAACAGTTCGCCGTGATGATCCCGGCGAGTTCCGTGTTGGTCGGCTCAAGCACGAGCGTGTCAAGGTGCCTCGTGGAGAGAGTATGATGGAGTGGGCTGAGAGTGTGATGCAGATACATGCTGACAGAAAGTCTGTACTGGAGGTAAACACCAGAACAATAATGTTTGGGGAAAAAATTGTGGGATCTAAAAGTCTGAGAAAGTCTGTTTTCATTACAAATTATGGTAACACTTTATTTTACCAGTGTCCTTGTTACACGTTACATGTATATGTAGTAATAGCTAAATGGTAACACTTCACAATAAGGTTCCATTAGTTAACATGAACTAACCATGAACAACATCTCTGATAACTCGCAATTGCTGTTAAGTGTGATCAGCTGTTAAGTGTTATTGTTTACAAAATTATAATATAATATTAGACTTTTTTTGAGTATGCACATTTTGTGCTTCTGTTTACATTTCTTTTGTAACTTGAATGTATAGGAAGAAAGAAATATCCTTTCTACTACTTACTTACATGCACTTTAGAGGTGTTGTTAAAGCACTGTACAGTGCTTGTCACAGTTGTGTTTGTATTCAACACATATTGTACAGTTTATTCTGCTGAATAAACCATGACAGGAAACAAACATGATGGGGTCAATTTGTTCTTTAACATTGGTAATACTGCGCACATTATTTAAAAATATACTCAGGCACTTAATTACTTGTGTATTTACTTATTATTGAATCGATATCGAAGCTAATAAATCAATATTGAATCGAATCGAATCGAAGCCTCAAGAATTGAAATCGAATCGAATTGTGAAATACCTAACAATACCCAGCCCTAAAATTAAGTCATCGTGTGGCCTCCTTGGCAGTTTGCTGAGGCCCTGCCCATAGTTGAGAACCTCTGCTCTTGAGCAGTGAAAATCCATCTCCGACTGTTTAAGACTGATAATGATGGATATCGTGCACAGGTGGAGTTCCAGGGGGAGGAGGGCACTGGTCTTGGACCCACCCTGGAGTTCTATGCCCTTGTTGCTGCAGAGTTCCAGAGGACTTCCCTCGGTATCTGGCTCTGTGACGACGACTTCCCAGATGATGAGTCACGTCAAGTAAGTGCTTTACAGCATGTTTACCTGTTAACCACAAGACTCTAGCCATAGGTATGAGACTGTTCTCAATTGGCTGATTCATTTTGGCTGACCTTTCATTGTTCATCAGGTGGATCTGGGCGGAGGCTTAAAACCTCCCGGCTATTATGTGCAGCGTTCCTGCGGCCTTTTCCCTGCTCCCTTCCCTCAGGACAGTGATGAACTGGAGCGTATCACCAAGCTTTTCCTGTTCCTTGGCATCTTTCTGGCCAAATGCATCCAGGACAACCGTCTCGTTGACCTGCCCATATCCCAGCCTTTCTTCAAACTGCTCTGTATGGGTGACATCAAAAGCAACATGAGTAAGCTACTTTATCAAAACCATATTGAGTCGGACTGCCACTTCTCTGAAATCCAGTCTGAGGCTTCCACTGAGGATGGTCAGGACACATACTCAGTGGGTAGCTTTGATGAAGACTCTAAGTCCGAGTTTATCCTTGACCCACCCAAGCCCAAGCCACCAGCTTGGTATCACGGCATCTTGACGTGGGAGGACTTTGAACTAGTGAATCCTCACAGAGCACGCTTCCTGAAAGAGCTGAAGGCGCTGTCTGTGAAGCGCAGGCAGATCCTAGGCAATAAGAGTCTGTCGGAGGATGAGAAGAACACACGGCTACAGGATCTCATGCTAAAGAATCCTATGGGCTCTGGCCCTCCACTTAGTGTAGAAGATCTTGGGTGAGATATGAATGTCACTTTTTATATTAATCAAGGAAATCAATATCGTGTGAATTTCTTGCTTGTCGCCGAGTATTTTAATTACATTTTTATGTTGCTTATCTAAATTTCTTTGTTTTATTTGTTATTAGATTAAATTTCCAGTTCTGTCCATCATCCAAAGTACATGGCTTCTCATCGGTAGACTTGAAGCCCAATGGAGAAGATGAGGTATGTCACATGTTTTTCAGACATGCAATGTTATGCCCTGTGTTCTCTATAATGAAAATGAAATCTTCTCTTTTTGTGGTTTCCATTATTTTGTGTATTTGTAGTTATTGCAATGTAGAAATATTTGTATAGCAGGGACCCTTCATCACCCTTAGGTCAGTACTTCCTGCTGTCATCTTGATAAAATCACACTTGCTTTTGGGATAGTCGGCAGGATGCTTGAAAGAGATGGTTACGTTTTGGGTCAATAAGATGGTATATTAGAAATTTGCTGATACCTATGGATGAATATTCAGAATACTGATAGTTTGATTTTCTTAAAGGAACAAAATATCTCCCAATTAATGCTGTAAACTATACAGCCAGGGAACACTTTCATTTGGTACATTACAATAATTTTAGAAGTTAGAATTAACAACAGAGCCCAAACTATTTTATATATATATTTTTTTTTTTTTTGCATAATTTTACTCATTCCCATAGGTTTCATGGTCAGACCAAAAGAGTGTACACCACTGATCTTTAAAGTGGCATGCAAATAAAGCCACCTCTCGGACAGCTTGAGTACAGCTCGTTTAGCTCTTAAATGCTTAAATGATCAAACACACAAAAAAAAGTAGTTGCAAATAATTATAAGCATTGATCTGCATTTAATTTTTTTTATTTTTTCTGTAGTATTTCTACTGTTGACACTGAACACTATTGTTAGACCCACCTCAAAAACTTGTCATGATGTTTATTTAATTTGTCCCTTTATTCTGTTTATTCTGTATTTATTTGTGCTATTGTTTGCAAATTATTAATTTGTTCTTATTTTATTACTGACGGTTAACTTAAGTTCAAAGTTTCAAATAAAGCCTGCAATTAAATGCAGACTGTTTGCTTGGTATCTAATTATGCAATGCATTGTTTCTGCTGTCATCTTGTATAAAATAAGATTTAATTGCTATTAATTCTGCTGTCCTCTTTTCAGATGGTCACAATGGACAATGCTGAGGACTATGTAGAGCTCATGTTTGACTTCTGCATGCACACAGGAATCCAGAAGCAAATGGAGGCCTTTAGAGGTATGATAAGATTGGCAATACTCTCATGCCTTGCACTTTACTTAAGGTACACTCAGTGTGTATCAAAGCATACAAAAACAGTATGTGTAACTTGGCTGTTCAAATATAAGAATATTATGAGTGACACTCATTATTACATTATTCATGTCAGTTATAAATATGGTGCTTTTTTTGATACAGAGGGCTTTAACAGAGTGTTCCCTATGGAGAAACTCAGCTCATTTAGTCATAAAGAAGTGCAGATGATCTTGTGTGGCAACCAATCTCCATCCTGGACTTCTGAAGACATTGTCAACTACACAGAACCTAAACTTGGTTATACACGGGACAGGTAGACATTTACTATTATTTCTATTGCTCTACATTGTCTTGGTAATTATTTGGGATGCACCGATATGATAATGTTGGCCATTACCGATAATACTTTTTATTTGAAAGTCGATAAATCTAAATTCAAATTTAATTTTTGAGAGCCTGATTACAAAAACAAAATTCACCTTTAAAAGACATGTCACAAGTACATCAAACATGTACAAAAGCCTAGTTTGAACAAGTGTAAGTTTTAAAATTATTTAACTTAACTTTCTTTATCTTTTTTTTCAATCTATTGCCTTACAAACAAATAAAATAATGCTAACTAGTCACTGTTCAACATTATTTGTAGAGTAGCCTATGTGCAGACAATAATGAAATTTTTAATAAACCATATTGTTGATGGTAAATGATATTTGTGCAATATTATTAATAATGCATCAATGTTTTTTGGGAAAAAAACCCATCTAAAATCAATATTACTCTTTTAAATTACAGCATTGCTGTTTAAAGGACAAGTTCAGTATTTTACGTTTTAAGATTGTTTCTGATGAAATAGAACAGTTCAGATTCAGATAAAATTTGGGCTGAGAATTTTCGGTTTCTGTGGTTGCGCTCTTCCTGCAACGTGCTAAAACATTATTTTACAGTAGTGTTTTCATTATAGTGTTATGTAGTGCACAATTTACACTTTAAGTGCAACATTTTCACGAAGATAATGCCATGTGCTTACTAAACATAAAGAACCGCCCACCATTGTTTTTTTCACTAAAATGCTGCATATAATATGAAAAGTTGGTAATTTTTACACTCCCCCTCCTTTCCACTTGGCTGGGTGTGACATCATAAAAGGGATTCCAAGTCTTAAGTTAACTTTAGTCCATCAGCAAGTAGGCTTGCAATTATTTAGAATAATTTTAGATTCAGAAGTGATGAATGGAATAACTCAATTGTAATTGGATGGTTGGGGTGCATAAAGGACAAAACCTTCATTGGAATATACATGTAAATAAGCTTAACTGCAGGAATCTGTGAGGGAACTTGTTGTGAGGGATCAGATTTAATTTAGTGTGATTTACTGCAATGCTTTTTCTTTAGTTCGTTGGTCAAAAGAACAAAAGTGAATGCTACTTACTTGTTCAGATTACATTTTAGGGTGAAGTTATGTTGGTCATATTTCCAAAAAGTAGAATCTGTGATTCTTAATGACAGTATCCACACCGCGCGGTGACTTGACAGGTGCACACTGTCATACGCGCTGTGCCGTGCCGAGGTACTATTCGCGTAAAGATGATAATTCTGCGAATGACTGCAATTGCAGAATTCGAACAGAGATGGCGACAAAGAGGAAAAAACGGCGAACTGAAGCTTTAAATTAAAATGATTTCAAAATAGTACTGTTTTCATTGTATTGCTATGTAGTATGGTTGGGATTTTTTTTCTCCCTAATAAATGCAGCCTTGGTGAGCATAAGAGATTTTAAAAATTTAAAAACCTTACTGACCCAAACTTTGGATCACTGAACATGAAACATTTATTCTAAAGTCGTTTGCATGTGCCATATTCTGCTATTAGAATATTGTAGTAGTCGTGTATAAATGCGGGATTCACATTCAAGTGTATGAAATGATGTATTTGGGCACATTTCATATAGTACACATCATGTTGATGATTTAATTGTATTGCAGTCCTGGTTTCCTGCGCTTTGTGCGAGTCCTGTGTGGAATGTCATCAGATGAAAGGAAAGCGTTCCTCCAGTTCACTACAGGCTGCTCGACCCTGCCCCCTGGTGGACTGGCCAACCTCCATCCACGTCTCACAATAGTCCGAAAGGTATGTAAGCTCACTATTTTTGTTTTTTTTTCAATATGCTAAGATCAAGTTAACATTGTTGACAAGAAAAACTAACAATCTCTCCTCATACCTGCTGTTGTCTTTTCTCCTTAGGTTGATGCAACAGATGCCAGCTATCCTTCAGTTAACACGTGTGTGCACTACTTGAAGTTGCCGGAATATTCTTCCGAAGAGATCATGAGAGAACGCCTCCTTGCTGCCACTATGGAGAAGGGCTTCCACCTCAACTGAGCATGCTCTCTCTACATCATTGACCAACTCCCATACTGGTGAAGCCTGTTGTGTTTTGTTGCAGAAAATAAAGCTGTGCTCTGAAATCCCCCCCCCACCCCCCAAGCACCCGACATGTACCCAAATACACAGGAAAAACAGTCCCATCGCAGCTCCACTAGCTCCTGAAACCAATTAGGGTCTCCTACTAAACTGGCTGCTTCACAAGGCCTTTCCCAGGTCACTCTACTGCTTTAAGGGCTTGAGCCACTGGCAGCCAGGGTAGTCTCTCCTCACCTACTGTGTTTACTGTCATTACTCCAGGTCCAGTGTAAATTTTGGCATAGATCATCTTTTTTCAGACTTAAACATCACCACCTGCAGCTGCAGTGTCAGACCATGGACACAAGCACACCTGCTTCTGTAGAGCTAACTATAGAGTGTTTGGGCATTTCCTTAACAGGTTTTAAGTTTTACTAGTGCCTGCATTTGTTGAAATATTAGGATTTTTTTTCTTTCATTTGTTTTACTTGATGTCTACATACAATCATGCACATGCTTTTTCTTTCTTTTTTGCCTCCGTTACTGTGTTGAGTATGTTTTCAACTGTTCATTTCCCTGCTAAAGGATCAAAGTCCCTGAGTGCATTTGTGTAATTTTACAATAAAGCTATAGATACAGAAACACTGGTTCTGTGTGCAAGGCACATTTAAAAAAGAAAAGAGAAAAAGACAAAGCAAAAAGCAAGCTGTGCTTTCCCTTGTATTTTCTTTGTATATTATAAACATTTATTTAACTCAAGTTGCAGTTTGAAGTAAACAAATATTTTCAAATGTGTATGCTCCAAAAATAATCATTAAAATGTTTGCAAAGTATCAACACTCATTTCTATGACTAAAACTTTTTTTTGGAAGAATGGAAAATGAACAAGGTTTATATTGGTATGAAAGGCTTTTATTTAAATTTGAAATGGATTATTAATAAACCGAATTGCAGCAGTTTAGCTTTCAGCCATCTTGTCAAGGGCCAGTAGTGGTGCCAGTATTCGGTTCTTATTTGTCTCCACAATGTGTCCATTGAGGATCATTTCATCCAGTATAATGTGTACTTTATCTAAATTGAACATGATCTGATTTTCCATTAAGGAACGGAACACTCATATAAACACATGTATCACTAAAGACGAAATGGACCCTTTTGACATTTCAGGGGTTCTCAGAAGCAAAAGTCATAGTTGGTTAAAATTCTATTGTGGTGAACGGGAGACAACATGAAGAAGCTGCTGATGAAAATATTTAAAACTTTACTAGAATTGCATGGATGACTGGTAATTATGCATTACAGTCTGTAAAAAGAGTCCATGACAAATTATATATTTCCAGCAAAAAAGCAATCATAGCCAAGATTCGTCAATAATACCTAATAATGTTATTTTTTACTGTTAAAGGATACATCCAGCTCACTCTGTCAAGAGAAGAAAACATCCGTTAATCTTTTCTCAGGAAAATTGTTATAGACCTATGCCATTATCAAAAATATCAGTACTTACCACACGACTGAAATACTTGTCTAACACCTCTACAAAATTGTGTACAAGTTCATAGATTGACAGTTCATTCTGTGGGAAAGAGAGCCAAGGACTATAAATAACAGACTTAAAAAAAGCTCTAAAGAAATACTGATTCCCAATGATAATGTCAGTAAATAGACAATACTACCAATAATAGTATGAATAACTAACCTCATTTTCAGTGATGCCGACAACAATGAAAAGAGCTGCATATTGACGATAGACCAGTTTGTAGTCCTTATACTCCACAAATGAACACTGAGGAAAAAGAATTATTTCAACAGCTAATTTTAATTCTAAAGGTAATCGCCAGTTTACAAAAGTAAAATAAAACTCAAGACCACAGACTGAACACTTGATATATATAAAGCATATGTGTAGATGCAAAGATAAACAGTAAGTTCCTGTCCTTTATATCAATTATCCTGAGGGTCAGTGATATTCATAATATTCTGCATCGCAGACAATGGCTATAACATGTTGTGTGTGATCTACCATTAAATTAAGAGTAAAAAAGGAAAGCATGACTGACCTCTTCCTTCCTCCGGGCGAGACATCCCCTAACCATGTCAGCTTCAAGAGCTGCTCTCTTCCCAAGCTCTACTTGTTCATAATACTTAGATAGACGAGTCTGTCCCTGTTTGTTGACCATAAGTAGGAACTTGATCATAGTAATTCAGAAGAGTGGCCACCTCTAGAAAGAAGAAATTACGTCATTAACAAACAACACGGGATCATGGCAAAAAATATTTATCGTTTTACAAATAACATAATTAAAACTGCTTCACGTTATTTACGGTATAACCGATAGTTTTCACCAGCATACCACAGTTGCCACAATTATTGTTAGGCTACTACTGTAAATGGATGGCGGTTTGATGTGATGTCAACATGGCAGCGTTCTCTGGCAGCGTAGCGTACACGTCACGAGGGAGTGGCCTGCTCCATGCTTTTTTGTTAGTATTCTCAAAATTGCTTTTTTTATTTATTATTATTTTTGCGAAGACTGTCAAATATTTTAAATGAGTAAAATCGAGTGCACCTTATATTCTGAAAATAAAATGGGAAAAATAGTTATTAGTTAGCTTCTAATAATAATAATAAATAGTTATTAGATAGCCATTTCTTTTTTGGAAGTTTCTTTCTTTCTTTCTTTTTTCTTCAAGCAAGTCAAGCAAGTAGTTTTAAAACAGGTGCTACAGCGGTGGCTATTACTGGCTATTTAATTCTAGCGAACCGTGCTGTGGTAAAGCGCCAAAAAGTGAGCCATCCCGTACCATGCAGTGGAAAAGCGCCGTTAGTATTATTCATATCATATTTTATGGAGACCAGATTTCGCGGAATGATCTGATTTGTCATGACACCGGTCATGTGATGCCAACATGGCAGCGTCCGTGAGGGGGCGACCTGCTCCATGTAGAAAAAAAATAGTTTTCACTAGTGTACATCATTGTAACAAGTTGCAGTTTATTTTTATGGGTTAAAAAATCTTTAAATGGGAAAAAATGTTTAAAATGAGCCAAACCAAATGCAAAAACATTTTTTTCAAAAATTAAAACAAAAAACTAATTATATTAACAGAAGCATATTTGATATTTTACTTATCTCTGCCCGACTATATGGCTATTTTTCAACCCCACATGTATTTTTATACTGTCAGTCAGGTACAGAGCCTATCACTCTACAGCGCTGTACGCATGCGCAGTTATCCGCCCGTCAGTCGGTCGAGACAGCGCAGGGTTGGGTGAACGCGTCCCATCATGCAGCGCGCGCGCCAGTCCTCCCTCACTCACTCACTCACTCACCCCGCAGTAGGAGACTCACATCCAGGGATCAGACTAATGGCGGCCGGCAAATCCGTGCGCTGACACGAAATCTACAACAGCCGCTCAGGTGCCAGCCTATTTCGTGGGGGGCAGGGGGACGTCGCATTGCTACGCGAACGGCAAAGAAGGGCGGGTTGAGGGGAAACAATCGGCGACTTCTAGCAGGACTTTCCTATTTTTAAACATGGATGAACAGCCAGGCGGCGGTGGAGGAGGAGGAGGAGGAATGGCCGCCCAGAGACAGCAGCAGCCCGCACCGCAGCAGGGCAACAACAGCATTAATCCCCAGATCGCCAACGCTGGAGGAGCACCTATGGTTCAACAACAGCAAGACGAGATGCCCAGGCCCCAGCAGTACACTATTCCGGGGATTTTACACTACATCCAACACGAATGGGCCCGTTTCGAGATGGAAAGGGCGCATTGGGAAGTGGAGAGGGCCGAACTCCAGGTACAGACCCGTGGATTTGCTGACACAGTAGTTAGTAGCTAACTCCAAGTGGGGACATTGATCGCCATCAGATCGGCTCCTTTAATTGAAGACTTAACGTTTATTTAGTAAGCAATTTACTACAGATCTCGCGAGCTTCCTGACCGCCTCCATTTGCACTGAACGGGAACAGTTGCATTACAATAAAATCGATCTGTGTGCACTCGAAGTATGCGAGACAGAAAATTTAGTACGCTTGTATTTTAATACAGTGATCTAGTATTTCGCGTCGCTCACTCGCTTGTAGTGTGAATGGGCTATGCTAAGCTAACATGACATTGTTGTATTAGCGATATTACTTGACACCCGGTACAATCGAGTCATATTTTCTTACCCAATAACACAGGAGCAGATTTAATAGTTGTTTTTGTGGATTTATCTGGTCACGAGAAAGCATCTGTCAGTGAAAGCCAGCAGACTTTGTCAACTATTCTCTTGTTCTGCCATTTTGTTTTGGTCAATATGGCGTCCGTATGGGTTGCTTCTTTTATTGATCCATCCTACTACAGCTCACTTTCACACCCCGCTGTATTTGTCTAACACACAATATCTGTTCTTTTAAATCAAAAATAAGTTAATGTCGCTAGTTTATGTTTATTTCTTATTCTTCCTGAGAATCCACGTAATAGTCCTCAGTCAAAGATGTTTGGCAGAATGACAGGGACAGTCACCTATTGCGTTTACTTTATGAAAAAAGATGCATTGTAAGTGAATGGTGACCGAGACTTCGAGTTACTTACTTTGACTAACATCTCCATTTATATTACATAAAAGAAGGTAAGTTATACACGTTTGGAACAACATGGGGGTGAGTAAATAATGACATAATGTTCAATATTGGGTGAACTGTCCCTTTAAGAATGCTATGAGCAGATAGTCTTTGAGCCCATCTTATTATAACAAACTTATATCTGATAAATCATTCACATTGTTTAGATGAAAGTATCATGATGTAATGTAAATGTATTCCACCATCATATGTGTCATTATTTACTCACTTATTTACCTGGTGTTTATCCAAACCTGCATGACTGACTTGACTTGCAACACAAAAACTGATGTTTGCACCTTCACTGTATAAAAAATACTATATTTTGCAGGTGCTTTTTGCGTACAACGCATACCATTTGACCAGTTTTGTGTTTGCTAGTTGTTTTTGACAGCCATAACTTTAAATGTTTAGTTCACCCAAAAATTAACATTCTCACCCTCATGTGTTCTGAATCCAAACCCCCAATACTTTCATTCATTTTCAGAACACAATATTTTTACACTCAAAAAGTTCATAAAGAGACCTTAAAATAATCCATTTCAATTGAGTGGTTTAGTCCAAATTTCCTGGAGTGACATGTTGTTTATATGGTGAACAACAGGTTTGATTTAAGCTTTTATTCCCAGTTATGGTAGTGGGTTTGGAATAACATGAGGGTGAGTAAATGATGAGAGAATTTTCATTTTTGGGTGAACTGACCTTTAACATCTGCAATATCGTAGGATGTTATTCTTAAAGGTATAGTTCAAACAAAAAGTATTGCCTAATTGTCATAATTTACTCTACTTCTTATCGTTCCAAACCTGTATGGCTTTCTTTCTTCTATGGAAATTGAAATGTCTCAATTGTTTGGTTTGAAAATGATTGTGAGTGAGCTGTGCTTCATACATCACTATACTTTTGACCTTTTGCTTGTGACATTTCACTTATAATTAGTTCATGCGACTGCATACTAAGTCTCTTACCTTAAGTATGTCATGATGGCTAAAGTTCCCAGCCACCCATATTTTCAGCCTACTCAAGATGAGGGTGGCAGTTTGGCTTTTGTGAATGAAGAAAGGAGCTGGAAGGTCTGTGGCAGGACGTAGCGTTATGTAAACATAGTCAGTCTTCCGTTAGGAGGCTGAGGAGTTTTCACCACCCCTGTACAGACTTGTTCAGTGACATACTTTCAGGATGACTCCCTCCTCAAACCTAATGGGCACTTTTCATTATTCAGAGTAAGTCAGCTTGTACTCCCACACTCATACCAATCCAGGTCTTCTCAGAAAAGGGTTTGGTCTTGTTTATCAGCTCTGCATTCCATGTTTCAGATGTTCACTTTCCACCTAATCGTCAGACACATATTTTGAAAACACCACAAATGAAAAATGCTGCAAGTTAAAGCATATCAAATCATGTTGCCAATCATGACCTTTATGATTTGCCAGCCTTGCATGCAGATTTTATTATCAGATGCTGCTCTTCCATGCATTTGGCAACTTGTGTATTGGAGATCTGGCTAATGTCATCATCGTAGTGGACAGTTCAGTCTTCCTTTGATACTGTCTGGTTCTAATTGATGTGAAACTCCTCCTGTCAGTTTGCCGGGCCTCATAGGCATAGCTGCTAGCAGAGATGTCCTGGGTAGTCACATCAGGAATAGGCCTGAATAGAGTTATCTGGGTTAGCTCGGGGTTTGTAGGTCATGGTAGCACCATCTTCAGAGTTGTGGTTCATTGCAACTCTCCAGCCATCAGATATTGTTAGTGCTGGTTTTATATTTATAATTAAATTGTGTGTGTATTATTACACAGACACAGCCAGTGGTGTTTTATTATTACTTATTAATATACTTTAGTATATATTAATGTTTTGAATTGGATTTTATTTTATAGTTTCATTTATCGTTTTAGTTTGATTTGGAATTTTGCTTTGCCATTAGCTTTTGTTTTTTAGTATTAATATCGACATTTATTTTATTTTTTTGTTTTAGTAATTTTAATGCTTTTTAGCAGTTTAAATGGCAAAACAACTAAGTTTGTCATCTGATATTTCATTTCAGCATTATTTTAATTAAGGAAAAATGATTTTGAGCTAACACTTGGTAGTTTTAGTTTACAATACCAACATTGAAAGAAACAAGTAGTTAATATCAAATATCTTACATTTTAGTAAAACATTAGTTAGTTTGTATATTCCCTCTGTCTGTACCAACAAATATAATAAATTCTAGTCACTCTGGTTTCACTTTTCACTGCTCACACAATCTGGTATGAAATTTCATGAACATAGTCAAATGGCGTAAATAAAGAAGGTGTGACATCCCGTAGCCTAACTTTAACCAGTCAGATTTGATAACCATAGCTAAATCTTATGTAATTGTTTGGTGAATATTTTAACTATTTGAATTGGCATATTGTAGTGGCATCCAGTTTTAAGAAAGCATTTTTTGTAACCATAATTATGCTTTCTTAAAACCCCTTTCATGCTGTTTATTTATTTAAATATAAAGCTCTGCTTTAAATGTGCTGTTTAGTCTGGGTTGTATGCACATTTTACTTAAATAATTGTACCATTACATTTCCAGTATGTTTCCATTGTACTATTATTAAACCTATAGGGTCCCCTCATTCAGCTGTTTTTCTCCCACAGCAGGCAGAGTATTTTTAGTGTCTGTGTTGAGTTCACACAGCTGAAATGCTGTTCTGTCGAACTTTAAATCTGGTAGGTGACAGAGATTTCAAGCAAGCATCAGAGAGCTGCTCTGGGCTGTGAGCAGCCAGCTGTTCCCGACCAAATGTGTACTAGCCATCCTCACACTCTGCTGACACGAGCAATGCTGATGTAATACAACAGTGTTCCTTAGTATTACCTGTGATTAAGTGCCAGTGAAACTGATTTACCAGAAATGTGGATAAAAATGTAAGTCTTGTCAAGTTGGTTCAGGAGATTACGTACATACTGTTGATGTTTCCTTGTAACTTAAACGCTTAGTATGGTGAGTTTCTAATGGCCTAATGTTCTACTTGTATAGACTCAGCTCATTAATATTCAGATCTTAATGCATGTATCCCATTTCAAAGATGAACCATCCAACGTAGTAATCTGATCGCTTCAAGCTGCTTGTTTGTTTGTTTGTTGGAGAACTCTTGTGTGGTGAACTTGCACTTTACCAGAAGACTATGATTAACTAGATGTTAACTTTCATAGAACTTGTGTATGATATGGGCCATTTTGGAGGGAGCCATTTTAAAGTTGAACTGAATATCCACTCATGTACCAGTTCTGTTATGTGAAAGATGTTTTTATTATTCAGAATTGATTTCAGAATCAATTTTAATTCATATTAAATTTCTTTATTTCATTCCTTGCTTATAGACAAGGCGGAGTAAAGTTTATTCAGCTATTCGTTTCTTTGGTGTGGTGTGGTTCTCTAGTGTAAGTTCACGTCAGAACATAGGCTCACTGTATTGGCCAGCATCACTCACTTGACCAGCGTCGGCCAGTAGTGAGCCTTAAGGCGGGCATACACTGTGCGATGTCTGTGCGATTTCAGCAAGGTACTTACTCACACTGAACGAGTAAATCGCATGCGATGCAAAGCCAAAGTTCAGGATTTATGTGCTCACACTGTACGGTCCGATCGTCGAGCTGCGATTTCACTGCTCACACTATGCGTGTAATATCTGCGATAACCCCCTGGATTGCGCCTATTTACGTGTATGTATCCAGAGATATTGTCAAAACAAGCATCTGCTATCAGTATCAAGATGATTTAGTATTTTCAATTTATGCATTTAATTATTATTATTATATTATCATTATTAGGGGAGGCCTATAGGCTAATTTTACTATTAAATTGATCCGCTATTATAATTAATTTGCCACGCAATATTTTCACAGCACATAACCAACGTGCTGTGAGGATAATAAAATATTAATCTTACTCCTCATTAAAAATTGTCTAAAACATTTAGGTCGATTACAATGAATTATATATAAAATAACTATTAACAGTCTATAATATGTCCGAACATTGCCATTATTAATCATCAATGAAAATTAAAAACAGGTTTATTTCAAAAACATTGTTTGACAAAATAATAAAAGAGGTGTTACATATCAGGTGGCTTGAAGACGGTGGGTAATATTATCCATTTTGCAACACGAACTGGAAGTAAGCAACAGTAATTTGTAGCTCGTTTTTATTTTAATTTTATTTTTGCTGCACATGAAATGGTTAAACTTCTGTTTTCGCGCAGGTGCAGTGAGGGAAAAAACACTGAGTTTAGGGCAATCGGTTCGTAGCTTTGCTTCAACTGTGCGATATAGTCACGAGGAGCGACCAAAATTTCTGACATGCCAGAAATTCATCCGACCATCCGATTGTCGATCGTGAGAGGTTAATCGCCTCTCGTTTCTCCCTGTACACTGCACGACAAACGACGCACGACAAAGCTGAAAATCGGTCCGACACGAAAATGAGTCGCACGAGTCAGAATTCGGCTCAAAATCGGACGAAAATCGCACAGTGTATGCCCGCCTTTACCATTACCAACCCCAAACTTTTGAACAGTATTGTAAATACATCAGTTATGGATGAAGCATATATGTAGCCTATATATGATGTTGAAAAACATATATTTCCATGATATTCAGGTTGTTCAGCTTTAAATCAGACTGCAACGGAATAGCACAAATTTGAATGGTTTCCTAACTATTCCCATGTCTGCTAATGGTTGAACAAACCAATCAGACAGTGTTGCCATGTGGGTATGCTCTAAGTCATGTTGTCATAGCACTACATAGTTTGCATTCTTTGGGTCAGCTTGCTATTTAGTGGCCTTTTATGTAACATCTTCCTCCCGTACAGTTTATTTCAGAGTGATTAAAAATCCAGTAGTCGAGCAGCTTTCATAAGAGCGTCAGTTCAATATTCATAACCCCATTCTATTAAAGATGTTGTGTTATTCCTCTCTTAGGGAAAAATCTTCATTTGCTTGTAATGTTTTTTTGTCGTTGTTAACTATCTAATCTGACAACTGTATGGTGGAATGTCATGCGTCGGTGAGGGCTATTCTTGCCCCGTGCGCTGCAGCTTGCTCCTTTGTAAGGCTCTAGTTTTGGCTAGTGATCTCACTATGTTTCCCCCGAATGCCTGGGAGGCGTCTCAATGGAGTGACCTCACACATTGATTCCAGCGCTGTGAACATGGGGGTGGATTGTGAAAGCACACTTCTGCCTGACGTTTGGACTGTTGGTCACCTCATGATAAAGTTATACATGTTTTATTGTGATCTGTGTATGAGCCTGTAGTTCAGAGATGTGGGGTCGTACACATGGTGTGCTTTTGAGCAGGCCCTCTGTGTGTCAGTCTCATTCCAAAATGTCCATAGTCTGAAGACATGTACAGACAGCTGTCTTGTGTGAAAGCTCCATCCAAGAGTGTAATAGCTTTCAGCACCCAGCCTAGTTAGCCTGTTCTTTCTCACATCTTTCTTAGGATAGTTTTATTATTTGAGCAATGTGTTTGTGAAAATTAAACACGTTTAATTATGTCCCCGAACTGTATTTAAATTCCACCACAATGAAGTGTTATAGTTGGTGCCATTTGGAATAATTTATAGCAAGCCTATAGCAGTTAGGCCTACATCTCTGATAAATCATCACGATTGGAGCTTTTTCTGGATTCTGTTTAATAATTTATTACAAATTTATATAAACTTTTACAGTTTAAGCAAGCTTTTAAAATGTAAACAAATGAGAATATAACAATTAGCCTAAGGTACAAAATATTTTTTGTCAAAGAAGATGCTGCTCAACAGAGCTGTATAAATGTAATACATGGGTAAAAAAAACAAGTACATTTTAGGTTACAGTAATGATATATTTCTGTCATAATTTCTTTTATTTTGATGGTTTGTCGTGAAGATTTTTTAGTTTCTTTAGTTTTCTCAAATGAAACAGTGAAAAGCTTGTCAAGTGACTCTCAAAGCAGCTCTAGAGATAAAGTTCATGTGTTCATGTCCTCATATATTTATATATATATATATATATATATCATCTCATATATATCATGTCCATGCTAAATATGATCAAAGATGGCTGTAATAATCTAAATTGTTTATCCTTCTTTCATTAAAATATTGACAAAACTCTAACCTTTCATTGAAGTAAAAGTGGGGGAAAATCACTTTATGAAAACATTGATTTACCAGTCAAATTTGTAACTGAGACAAGATGATTTTCCTTAATTTAAAAGAATATATTCATCCCACAGTTACCTTATGTTATTTTTTTTCTACATTAGCCCATCATGTATCAGACCATCCCAGAGCACATGTAGTGCTAAAGGCCATTGCACACCGAGTCCGAAATTTTCGCACGTTAAAAAAAAAATTCGCCCTCACGTTATGTCAGTCACGCTTGCACACCGCCTCCGAAACTTTCGTCCGTCATAAAATTAATCAGATCGGGTTCGATTTTCTGCGTTTTTCGCATCCAGAGCCAGCATTTTGAAAGGTCTTTTGACACTTCAGGGCCGGGGGAGCTCGTCCTCAAATCATTGCACATATGCGCCGTGCTTTCAGTTTCGGTTTTCAATTCGATCAAGTGTTTATGTTCTTTTCTCTATATTGGATTATGAAGTTAATAAACCTCCCCTTTCAATCAGATTGAAATTTAAGATCGAATAAGGTGTGATAACTAATGTATTATTTGGGCACAATACACAATAACAGCCTAGCTGTTCTGTCTGACCAGCGCTTCCAACGGGCCGCGCGCGGGTGTGTGTTTGTCCGTGTGTGTGTGTCCATACCTGGTCCATTTCAGACACACTGCCAGTCTCCGTTCAGAATCGATTGGTTCACGGAAATTGGTGGTCTTGTTTTTAATATGGCTCCAGAATCGCTAGCAAAGCATCGAACTGTCCCACTGACATTCTGAGGTAAATTTTGAATCGATCAGGATAAATTCGCAACTCCTTGATAATGAACTCTCCTTCCTCTCGGCGCAATTTCAGGATTGGATGGACGTAATATTTTCTCTTTCTTCATTTTCAATAAGAGAGGGCAAAAATCATCCTCACTGCTTGACGAATCCATTTGGTATTTTTGCGTTTTTTCCCGCAAAGGTTTAAGAAATACGCAACGGACTCGGTGTGCAAGGTTTCTATGCGTGACGAATTTTTAAGCTGACGAACACGAAAATACGCATACGAATATTTCGTGCTCAGTGTGCAATGGCCTTAAGAGTTGGAAAGACCACAGAAAGCGAAAATTCTCGGGCCAGCAGCATGTGTCTATTTCATTCTATTTCATTAGAAACCATCTTAAAACAGGGATTTAAGTGTAAAATACCGTACTTGTCCTTTAATATTGATCTAATTTTGGTCATAATTTGGAGACTGAACATATGAACCGTTGTGCCGTGCCTTTTGTGTTATCACACAGTTAAAAAACGAAAAAACCATCTGTGGATGAAAATCTGACTGGTGGTGGGCCATTGTCCTGCTTCACTTTACAGATGCGGTGAAAGGAGAATTATAGAATAACAGGACATTCATTTATATGACACTTTATTCATCAGGAGAACAACTCGTATAGCACGTCATTCAGCACGTCATTCGCCATCCTTTCAGTATTGGTTTTTAATCGATCAAGTGTTTACATTCTCTCGATAAACCTCCACTTTCAATCCGATCCAAATTATTTGTAACAGAGTGGACATTTTGTGTTTTTAATGGGTTATGTTATAGCCCTACTTGTTTTTAATGAAATGTCTGTAGTGACTGCATGATCATCACATGACCGTATTATTTACCACCATGCGAGCCACAAATTAAACTATTAAAGCCGAGCATTTACATTACATTTATTCATTTAGCTGACGCTTTTCTCCAAAGCGACTGGAGCAACTAAGGGTTAAGTGTCTTGCTCAGGGACACATTGGTGTCTCACACCAAAGTCATGTTTCTTATCCACTGTGCCATCACCACCCCGCTATTAACACTGGTCTATATTGTTTTAATGCACGGTGAGGAGGAGAGTTTTGAGTGGCCAAAGACTCTCTAAGGATCCCAGATGGAGAAGTTGGAGTTTTGCAAATGTTTTGAATAAAAGATCAAAATGATAAACGGTGCAGATTTATTTTTTACAGCCATCTTTGATCATATTTACCAGGGGTGCCAATAATTATGACCTGTGAGTTTGTGTATCAGACGAAACCTTGCCATTCTTACACGCAGAGACATGGAGAAATCACTTATTAGCGACATGCACTGACTTGGTGTTGTGGTGTTTATTTCTGCTGTATGACAGGCTGAAATGAACAGATCTTATTAAATGCTAGGTTTCTTTCTGTCATCATGCGGTTTAGGAAAATAGTGCTCATCGAATTGTAAATGACAAGCCCACCTCACCTTCTCTTTTTTTTCTATGAAAATTGCACAGGATGTCCTCCTAGTTTACCTGCCAAACAAACTAGGTTGTCATGAGAGCCTGCAAGATCTCTTTTTCTCCAGGAAGGTTGAGGGTTTTGGTTGTCTATAAATACCCCCTCCCTTTGCCTCCTCTCATTCACTTCCTGGCCTTTAACAGGGGTCAAGTTGCACAGCTGCTCTCATTTGCTAATGTTAACCTGCTTTGTAGAGCTCTGTTCATCTGGGCAGTCGCCTGCCAGTGGCGTTGTGTTGGTTCCTCTTTAGAAAATAAGAGATCTGTTTTGTTTTTTTTTTTTGATGATGATGGGGGGAGATTAGCCATGGCATCTCACATCAATCAAACAGGAGTTCAATTCAGACTTATTTGTCAATCGTTTTCAGAAAATAACTGCACCATTCAAATAATTAGCTAATACGTTTAGCTAAATATTCCTTTTTGTATGTTGTCAGTTAGGACGTTGTTATTTATTAGTCTATATATATATATATATATTATCAGCTTGTGAATTGTGTGTAATGAGCAAGAAAGACTTGGCACTGACACAATATACTGTGTATATATATATATTGTTTCAGTGCCAAGTCCTTCTTGCTCATTACAGACAATTCACAAGCTGACAACTTAGCTAAAATATCTAAACACTGGTTTAACCTGTCTACATGTCTTCATCACCTGCTTTTGTCTTCCAGGCCCGAATAGCGTTCCTCCAAGGAGAAAGAAAGGGTCAAGAAAATTTAAAGAATGACCTTGTTAGAAGAATAAAAATGTTAGAATATGCATTAAAGCAAGAAAGGTTTGTAATGTTTGTTTGTTTTTTCCTTACATTGCATTTTTGTTTATTTTTTTGAAAACACTTTACATTAACGTTTCATTTGTTAACATTAAAGTTTTAACTAACATGATCTAAACATACTTAATGTATTTGTTATCTTTGTGAACGTTAGTTAATAAAAATCCAGCTGTTGTTTGTTCATGTTACTTTACAGTGCAGTAATTAATGCCAACAAATACAGCTTTTCATTTTAATAACGTATTAGTAAATGTTGAAATTAACATTAATAAGTTCTGTAGAAGAGCATTTCATTATTAGTTTATTAAAAAGAGTTACCATTATTTTTAATGAATTATTTCTTAATCCTCTTTAAATGTAATGATAAAGTCATTTCATTTGTAAATGTATTCATAAATGTATTTTAACAAAAACTATTTCTTCCATTAACAGAGCAAAATACCATAAATTAAAATATGGGACAGAACTAAATCAAGGTGAAGTAAAAATGCCTAGCTTTGAATCAGGTAAGAGGATTCAACCTACTTTTGAAAATGTGTATATAAACTACCATTCAAAAGTACTTCCCCTAAATTTTTGAATGGTACTGTGAATGTCTGTGTATAGATTTCTTTTCAAGGTTCACTGATGTGTTCACTTTTTGTGTTGTTTCTTAAAGAAGATACCAAAGAAACAGAGGTCTCTGCTATACCTCAGAACAGCCAGTTAACATGGAAACAGGGCAGGCAACTCCTCAGACAGTAAGTTAGCCTTGAGTCATTATGTTTTTGTGAATGACACTTCCTGTGTGGCTGTGACAGTAGTATTAGTCCTGCTAAGAAAGTTCATGGACTTTTTCTATCACCTGAATGTCTGAGATGTGCTCTGAATCTCTTTACACATCTGTCTTTTTCAAGATATCTTCAGGAAGTAGGTTATACGGACACAATACTGGACGTTCGGTCGCAGAGAGTTCGGTCGTTACTGGGGCTGTCCGGCTCAGAGCAAAACGGTTCTGTGGAAACCAAGAACCTAGAGCAAATTCTCAATGGAGGAGAGTCTCCAGCCAAAAGAAAGGGACAAGATATGAAAAGGTACAGGTTTTTCTTGATTTATTTGATCCAGTTCAACTGGAAGATTAATATAAACAGTTAAAAGAAAAGTTCTAACATTTCTCATGCTGCTTTTGGTTCAACAGGAATCCAGAGGTTCTGGAGACATTTAATTTTTTAGAAAATGCTGACGATAGTGATGAAGAGGAATATGATGAGGGTGACATAATGGAGGACGTGCCTGACAGGAGCGATAAACGCAGAATAAAAAAACATAAAATTAAGGTGTGCAACAGTTTTAGTGGTAATTGGCGTGAATTATGTAATGATCTCAAACTAATCTTCCTCTGTATAGATTGTCTATGTAAAATAGCCTAAAACTTGACTACTCTTCCAGGTAGGAAATGAAGGTTTGGCTTCTGACTTGCCGGATGACCCCGACACAGAGGAGGCACTGAAGGAGTTTGACTTCTTGGTGAATGCAGAGGATGGAGAAGGTGCTGGGGAGGCTCGGAGTTCAGGAGACGGCACAGAGTGGGGTAAAATAATACTCGCCAAACTCATAGTCGATTTTATTGTCATTAATCATGATGAAAATAGGGCACATTGCTTGAGATTCTTAAAATATTTGAGTGTGATGATTGAAAAATTACGGTGGCCCAGTAGTGCACAACACAATGAAGTTTAAAAAGCAAATATAAATTCACAGCACAACGAAATTAAGCCACGGCCCAATGCAAATGCTCCCGACCACTAGAAGGTGCTCTGAGCGCGATGAAGTTAGTTTTTCTTGCCATTGTTCTACATAGGCAGCAGTCTAAAAAATATATCAACAACACGATTAGTTTTAACAGTATGTTGCTAACCATTGTAAACAATTAATCACACAGCCCTAATATTGGTCCAGAAGACTAGAAATGTAGAGCATGAGAGATGGTACTTCATTAGTAAATATCACTTTTAATATATATGAAGATGAGCTGCTCCTAAATACTGTATGTAGTATTTATTTTTATTCAAAATTAATTATTTTAAAAAAATGTTTGAGGCGGTGCACATGTGCATGCATGTCTTTTGTATGTGCTTTGTGGCACACGCTGGCCCTGCGGTGGAATCTTAATTGGGCCTGTTGCTGTATCAGCATTCCTGACAGCTTCCAACACAAGAGATTCTCTCTCTGCTCCGACCAGAGCCAGCTGGGTCAAACACATTACATTACGTCCGTCCCACACCCTTCTGCTTTCTTTATCTCTGCCTCTTTCTGTCTTACTCTCTTCTGTCTATTCTGACCCACTTCTTAACTAAAGATTATGTAAATGTAACCATAAATAGGACATGTATTTTTGGTAAAGTATAAGTGCGTGCGTTGTGTGTCTTGCAAAAAAAGGGAATACGTTTATTTGGCTACTTACTTGTTTACGCTGAAACTTTCCTCAGTTTTTGAAACCGAAAATTGAGGTTATCCATTTAATTTTTTGTAACATACCCATACCTATGTCACATAACCTGCTTTTCGGAATACCCTCCTGAGGTACTAGAGGCTGGTGTCAAATTAAAGGTAAAATTTACATTGATCCAACCCATATTATTCACTCTACTTTGTTTTTATTTTATGTTATAACACCACATAGTTGTTCTGGTGTTGACCTGCTGGTTTTTGTTTGTGAAACAGTCTGTAGCTTAAGCCCTGTTTTTTTTTACTCCAAAGTGTGGCACCTTGTTTACCGGGCCCTTCTCTTTCCTATTCTTAGCTGAGCCTCTGCCATTCACGCCTGGTGGGGGCAAGTCCTTTATCATGGGCTCTGATGACATGTTGGAAAGTGTGCTGGGCCTGGGAGACCTCGCAGATCTGACTGTGTCCAATGACGAGGCTGAATACAGCTATGATGTAAGTATGACACGGACTGCATTCTGGCATTAATAAATAATAGCCTCTGCTTAAAATAAAGCCTAGGTCTTTCTCTTTTCCCTGCTCAATTTTTAAATGCAGTCTGTATTGTGTTAGCAGTTCTATAAAAACAGCCCGTCATGTTTACTCAAATGTCATGTACCTATATTAGTTTCATTCTGGATAAAGGTTACTTGTCCACGCTGGTGTGGTTTGCAAATTGGACAACTATCCTAATGCCTTGGAGTCAGCCGACCTGCAATTTCCAGGTTTCATTTCACAGTTGTTAAAATGCCTCTGCAACGGCCCCTCCCCCCACTCTCTATTTTTAGTTGCCAGCCAATAAGGATGCATTCAGGAAGACATGGAATCCCAAATATACCCTGCGAAGCCACTTCGATGGAGTCCGGGCCCTAGCCTTCCATCCTGTGGAACCGGTGTTGGTCACAGTCTCAGAAGACCACACCCTCAAACTGTGGAACCTCCAGAAGACCGTTCCTGCCAAAAAGTAAGTTCTTACTGTGGCTTTTCAAGGAAAGGAAAGGAATGTCCTGGGATTAGACATGCGACAGTATAACATTTTCATTAGGGTTGGCCATCGAGAACCGGTTCCAAGTTTAAAAAATAACAATGCCATTGGAATCGTTCAGAAATGTTGTTTTCGATTCCGATCATCGGTTCCAAACGCGCAAGCTTCGGTCCATAGTGGCTACTGGATTTCTGGAAGTGCTTGCCACGCCCACTTGTTCTGTTGCAGCAATGGAGCATGGTAAGCAGCGCTCAGAAGTGTGACTTTATTTCACGTTAAAAAGCCTGGGTCGGCACAGTGATTTTCATTTCACTTGAATAAATATAGATAAATGATTTGCGTATGTACGTAATAGGTCCAGTGGCTTAATTTTTGCCACGCATGTCACAGGTTCTGGGTTCTAATCTGCACTCGTATTGTTTTTTTTTTTTTTCTCATCTAAACCGAATATGTTCATCAGTGGTTGTATATCAAGCAGGGGAGCGTAGATCCACTGTCTCGTCCTCTTCGGGCAACCCTGTGCTAACCAACATTAGTAGCGTTCCCTCGTCACAATCAGGCAAGTGATTGTAGTGTAACAACGTGCTTGACCAAATTTCCAATTGGCTTTATGCCCAGCTCCTGTCTGCCATTATTGGGCAAACTTGATTCATTCAGTTGTGTCTGATTATTGTTGCCATGACTACTGAGGTCAGGCAAACCTGAATTAATCAATTTGTCCAATAATGGCAGACAGGAAACAAGGAGCTGGCTGAAGCTCAGGAAGTAGTGCAGCTGGGCATAAAGCCAGTTGTGGTGAACAACAACGTTACTGAAATTCTTTTTTCCTGCGTAGATGAATGTAGCGTTATAAAAAAAATCCAAATGCTAATATTACTGTTTATACGTGTCCAGAGAGTCCAGACCAGGGTGCAAGTTCTGCAAATCTCTTTCTTGGTCTGGTGCAGTCATTCCTAATTTTGTCCCACATGGGCTGCCACTCCCAAAACTAAAATTCATTATTGAATCAAAATAAAATGTTCCCCTGTGAAAATGATCCTGTGACATGTTTTGACTCCACCCCTCAAAGAATCGGAATCGAGAATCAAACAGAACCGAGATCGAAAGGAGGAATCGGAATTGGAATCAGAATCGTACAAATCAAAACGATGCCAACCCTAATTTTCACGTTGTGATAATTGCTGAAGCTTTTATCACAATATACGGTATTAAAAATAAGTTGCAAAAAGTAAATACTTTTTTTCTTATAACAGAAAGACCAAAAGGTAACAATTTAAAATAAGGTCTAACTAACATTAACAATAAGCAATAGCTACATTTCTTACAGAAGTCTATTTTTTAACTAACTTTTTCAAAGTAATAATTCTTTGATAACGTTAGTTAAAAATAATACAACTGCTAATTGTTAGTTCATATTGATATCAATATTAGCTCAGGTTTTGATTTTAATCATGTATAATTAAATATTGAAACTAACATTAACTAAGATTAATAAAATACGTTAGAAGTTTTTCATTGTCAGTTTAACTAATGAGCCTTATTGTAAAGTGTTACTGAACAATAAAGAATCAGATCATTTTCAATCTTATATCTAAGGCAAGTTGAAGTCCATATTAAAATGTAAAAATATTGAAGTATTTGGTGTTTTGATAAACACCAATGAGAATACAAGCATCTGAATGGCTGTTTGAAATATTTAAATACTGTTTCAAACCAGAAAGTAGGTCAGTTGTTGTACACGCACTTATTGTACATTTTAAAAATATTGATGAAAAAGCATTCCCTATAATGAATAATTATTCACAGTATTTTGAAGTGCCTAAGATAACAATAACGTGCGTGCTTATTATCGTGATATGGCGTATTACCGTATATTGGCACATGTCTACTTGGAATAGGTTTTGATCTTAAATATGGTTCCTCAAGGAGCACGTTGATTTTATCATTTTGTGTTTTTACCATTAATGTTCCAAACAAACCGTTTTTTCACCAAACATTTTTCTTGCTTTGCAGAAGTGCCTCTTTTGATGTGGAGCCCATATACACATTTAGAGGGCATGTGTAAGTATTGATTTCATGACATTTGTGACAGTATGGATAATTCTGCATTTAGCGTTCCCCTAACCTCTGCCAAGCCCATTCACGAGATGGTGGCATGATTCATTACTAATTCTCCACAACATGAGCATAGCGAAGTTAGCTTTTCAAAGGTGCATTCAGTAGACTTTGTTTACATTTCTCTTGCCCTTATTTGTCCCAGTGCTCTTCTACTCTATACTGACACCTATTGGTGTGGATGCTTGTTGATTTCTGACATTTGTGCGTTTTTTGCTGTTGTACCACCACATCGATAAAAAAGGACATTTTGGGATGATTTGGATTCAGTCCCAATGATTTTATATGTGTTGTTGGTGGAGCACAGCTGGCTGCTACATTCCACTGATCAGTCTGTTGTCCCTGCATTTGTCCTCATTATGGTTTGTAATAGTAGTAGTTGGTCAGTTGGATTCCAGGGCTGGTGATATAGACAAAAAAATGGCTTAAAAGGTGCAGCAAGTGACAAATCAACAATCACCTCTTTCACACCTCTTTTCAATACCCTTTATTGCTCCGCCCCCAAAGTGCAAGGATGTTTCTTCATCATTGATGAAGTGAAGCAAAATAGTGCTTCACAAATAATAAAGCAAAAGATTATGAACAAGTGACAAGGAAGAGAAGAAAGGAACATACAGTACACTAAAGTTTATACAAGCAAGTGTCCATTTTAGTCACCAGCAGGCAGCAGCACACTAGATAAAGACAAACAATGACACTCAAAACTGTCCTGTTAATATAGCTAACATTACAATGTGTTGGTTTTGGGAAGCACAGTAAAAGCAATGTTACTCCTATATGGTACAGAAACAATGCAACCTCGCCATCTGGTTGCAGGTCTTCCCATTTAAGTCTCTTCAGTGTTCTTGCCTGATCATAACCCTTCTTTTTGACATTCCTCTGACCTTTTCTCTTTTGTAATGTCTCTTTCGACAGTCTTTCTACAAATGTCCCTCTTGCTCACTCTCTCTACTTCCCCATCATGAGTGTATACGCTTTCCACAACTTTTCTCAGAAATCGCTTACTGCACCTTTGAACCCATGTCATGAAACTCTTCTTTTAAAGTACCACTATCCAGTTGCAAATGACATCGAAGACTGAGGAGAATTTCTCCTCAGTCTTTGATGTCATTTGCAACTGTATAGTGAGTGTTTCAAGTGAGGGTGAATGAGGGTGACATTCTGAGATCTCTGTCCTCCTTGTGAGCTTGTTGCTCTAGGTCTAGGATGTTTTCAGACCACAGTATCAGTACCTATAGCAGATCAGGGCAGGAGTATATACCCAATAGGGATGTGACGTCAGGATATTTTCCTACTGGTTAATTGACATGTGACAACACTTTATTCAAACACTTGGATATGGATTTACGCCTAACAATAGCGCACTTTTATCTAGATCAGTGGTTCTCAATCCTGGTCCTGGGGACCCACTACTCCGCACATTTTACCGTATATGTCTCCTTTATCTGACACAGCCAGTTCAGTTCATAGAGCTCTTTCCCAACGAGCTCGTGATCGGATTCAGGTGTGTTAAATGAGGGAGACATACAAACTGTGCAGAGTTGTGGGTCCCCAGGAACAGGATTGAGAACCACTGACCTAGATAAATGTGCGCTATTGTTAGGCGTAAATCCATATCCAAGTGTTTGAGTAAACTCACAATAACAACAAAACGTTGTGCTTCAGTAAAATAAAGAAAGCAAACAGATGCGCTTTCTGCCTCGGCCTCCATGAAATGGAGTGCGTCAGGAAAATTAACCAAAGATCAGTGTGTATGCTATTTGCCTATATAAGAAATATATCTACTGAAAGCTTGAAATGTCTACTTTTAGACAAACCAATTCCAGTCGAAAACAAATCATCTCTGATTATGTAATCCGTATGAAAAGTGCACTTTGTGTCAGCATTGTCAGCATCTTTGGAGCTGATACTGACTCGGAAAACCCTGAGTCAGTACTATATATATAATGCTCATAATGGTTTTGCTCTTGTTTTTAACCAGTTGGTGTCAAAAAAAAAAAATCTCAAGGTGATTTTTAGTGGGTGTGAAGTCAGTTCCACTAATGTTTGATAACCACAAAATGTTTTGTTCATGTTGAACAGTAATGTTTATTATATTTAAGACTTTAAAAAACCTTAAAAGAGTACTTGAGCTATCTTTTTTAATTAATATAAATCTTAGTAAACTCCTGTTTCACAATTATTGTGCTGTATTTCATTGAATTAATATAAATATTATTATAACATTTAAATAACTGGTGTATATTAAAGAAAAATATTAATAAGTAACCTAAAATTGTATTAATATTAAAAATAAATATGACTAAAATACCACATGGTTTGATGTTTTTGCCTTGACAAGCATAGACATGTTTACAATTTTAAGTGTATCTAATCACTTTTTAGGGCCCCCTGTATCAACAATGATGTAACCAGCTGAATCCACCCATTAGATCTCAAATCCTCTGAACCTGATGTTTTTGTTTCTGCAGTGGGCCTGTGCTCTCATTGGCTGTGACCTCGACTGGTGAGCAGTGTTTTAGTGGTGGAATTGATTCAACAATACAATGGTGGAACATCCCCAGCTCTAACGTAGACCCTTATGACACATATGGTGAGAAGATAAAACCATGGTTTCCTTTCGATTGAACTTAACACCTCGCCAGTATCTTCTCTATGTGTGGCTCAGATATGTACTCTGTTTTCACTCAGACCCCAGCGTGTTGGCTGGCACATTGTTGGGTCACAGTGACGGAGTGTGGGGATTGGCTTACAGTGGAATCAAAAACCGGCTGCTCTCCTGTTCAGCTGATGGGACGATCAAGCTGTGGAACCCTCAGGAGAAGTCCCCATGTCTAAGCACCTTCAACTCTGACAGAGGTGAGCGCAATGCGTCTTCTACGTGCCGTTCAATAATCGATTGAAGGGTTGGCAACTAATTTTCTTCGTTTCCTGTCTTTCAGTTCATGGCGTTCCCACGTCGATCGATTTTAATGGGTGTGATCCAGCTCATATGGTGGCGTCCTATAACACGGGAGATGCTGTCGTTTACGATCTAGAGACATCACAGCCCGTCATGGTATTCGCCGCACAGGGAGAGAGCGGTACATTTTTTACATATTTTCTTAACAGAACAAAGTACACTTGTGTAGATATGATATAATGTTTATATAGAGAATTAGATTTGTGGTGTTTACATTCTTCTGCTTTTTTTGTAGCTATTCCTTTTGGGAATCACATTAATAAAGTAGTCACCCACCCCACCCTGCCAATCACAGTCACCGCTCACGAGGATAGACACATCAAATTCTTTGATAATAAATCAGGTCAGTGTGTTGTTTTGTATTATTGTAAATACCATGATATGTACATTACTGTTCAAAAGTTTGGGTTTTCAGCAAGGCTGACTTTTTTTTTTAATCACAAATACAGTGAAAAACTGTAAACGTGTGATTTATAATAACTTTTCTGTTTCACTTATTTAATGTAACTTATTCCTGTGATGGCAAAGCTGACTTTTCAGCATCGTTCTTCCAGTCTTCAGTGTCACATCATATGTTGATTTGGTGCTCAAGAAACATTTCCTAATATTATCAGTTAAAAACAGTATTGCTTTATATTTTTGTGAAAACCATGATCCATTTTTTTAGGATTTTGTGCATAGAACGTTCAAAAGAACAGCATTTATTTGAAATAGAAAGCTTTTGGAACATTATAGACTTTTGATAAATATATTGCATTTTGGCTAAATGAAAATTTCTTTGATAAAAAAAATCGTACATCAAATATTATTATATTAATAAATTATGTAATCATGTGTAATTTTTTTTTTTAAATCTATCTGTTATCACTTTCCTACTGTCTGTCTTTTTAAGGTAAAGCCATCCATGCAATGGTGGCTCACTTGGATGCTGTTACTAGTCTGGCTATAGATCCAAATGGCATTTACTTGATGTCAGGAAGTAAGTGTTTTTTTTTTTTTCCAGCCCACTGTTTCAACACCGCCATTTAGCTTGCTCACTTTTCCTCCTGGTAATTTTTTGTCACTCTTAAAGCTGCAGTCCGTAGCTTTTCCTCTTTGTCGCCATCTCTGTTCGAAATCTGCAATTGGAGTTATTCGCGGAATTATCATCTTTACGTGGGTTGTAAATCGCATGAAACAGAACACGGTGTTTTGAGGCGAGTGCTGCTGTCAATCACCGCGCTGTGTGGATACTGTCATACAGAATCACAGCTTTACTTTTTGAAAGTTTGACCAACATAAGAATATTCACCGGAAAATGTCTTCTGAACAAGTAAGTAACATCCATTTCGTTCTGATCAACTAAGGGGGAAAAGCATTCGACATGATAAGTGTCGTTAGATTTAAGCTAATCAACGCGATTTACAGCAACAGTGCAAATTATAGCCTATTTTGTTCTCAAATTGTTCATGTTAACAACATCAGCATTGCGTGACTAATGTTAAATTTAATGTGTTTTATGGTTACCTGTGTAGTTCAGAGTTCATATTCTCCATAATAGCAAAACGAGAAAGGCAAAACAAAGGAAACTCCATAACTAATTAAGAAAACGTACTGTTACCCGATTGAACTATTGAAATGTCTTACTTGTTCAGCAGAAAAAAAACAGTCTCTTTTTCCGTTTTGAAACCCTTCAAAACATGGAGTTAACGCACTTTTCAAAAGCCCCGCCGATGTTTAAATCCTTGTGTTCGCATGAGACGGTTTCTTTCTCTTTCTCTAGACACCTTAAATCCGAAGTACGAAGTCTTTTGGGTTTAATAACTGCTGAATCTCCAGTTGACACTGATGATTGTTGTTTGGATCTTTCTGGATGCCATAAGTTTAATTATGTGAAGTGCTGCGAGAAAAGCCTATGCATCTTTACATCTCTCCTCGCGCGCAGTATAGCTGGCTAGCCGAAACTCCTTCTTTGTGATTACGGGTGTGACGTAGTGACGCAAAGACATGCTCGGATTTCCCGCGGAAACCCACCAGTACCACTGGAATTAAAATCATTATTACAAGCTATCTGTTTTGAATCTAGCTATGGCAAGCAGATAGTTTTGACTGCTAGCAGAATATGTTTTTTTTTTTTTTTAAATAATTATTTTGGATTAATTTTAACTTAAAAAAGTTACGGACAGCAGCTTTAAAGATATAGCTCACGCTCACATCATTGCAAGCCCTCGTCACAAGGAGATCTTTAGCCGAAAGTCTGAGCTGCTTTTTTCCATACAATGAAGCTTTCATTATGTGAAAGAACACAAGTCATGGAGGTTTAGAAAAATGACAGAATTGAAGTTTTGTCCTGAACTATCTCTTTAAGTGTAAACTTATCGCCTCTTCTTCATCTAACACAGGTCACGATAGTTCCATCCGCTTGTGGAACCTGGACAGTAAGACATGTGTACAGGAGGTTACCGCTCACAGGAAAAAGTCGGACGAGGCCATATACGACGTTGCCTTCCACCCATCTAAGGCATACATAGGAAGTGCTGGAGCCGATGCCCTGGCCAAAGTGTTTGTATAAAAGCACGTCTGAATTAACGCATACGTAAAGACCGAGTGAAAGAAAGGACTGCTTCACTGCCTTGTGTAACAAGAGTAGCATTTCTCACACTACATTGAAGTGGCTTCCACCTTCGCTGTCAGACTCACACCATACACAAAATACCAGGTGCCAAGAAGGGGATGTGCCGTTTTTTGCGATGCCAGTGTGGAGTGCTCAATCAGTTTTAATCTTCTTTTTGTTTCCTCGAAAAAAGAAAAAAAGTAACTGTAATTTACTGGAGTGAAACCAGTGTTTGTAGCCCATCGACTGGTTTTGAACTGAGCTGATAATGTGTCCTGTAGGTATGTTTCAGTGACCATGGAGTGGTTATGTTCATCCATCAGTAGATTGTCACCGACCATCATCCGGGCACCAGAGGAACTGAGTCCCGCCCTGCCAAGCCATAAACCAGACCCTAATCTCAGTCGCCCTCCTCACCCTAATGTAGTGTGCAAACAAATACAGTTAAACTCGGTCAACCCTCATACCTTTAGCGTTTGTCTCATTTTTTGTGTAAAAAAAAGTATAGTTTTTATAATCAATTTTATATAAATAAAGACTGTCATAAAACCGCTGAAAATCACATTTTTTAAAGGGACTATAATCCCACTCAAGCCCTCCATTTTAAGCGGTGGTCCTTCATGAAGGTCTTGTGTCTCGGGATGGAAGCCCTGGATGAGTGCTCTCTTTGCGCAAACTACATTGCTTTAACGTTGTTTTATCATCACGTAACGGAGAGACTACGCTAGCAGTGGCACGGCGCGTGGTGCCCGAGAGATTTTAGGAATCTACGAATAAACTGCAGCATCCTGTCACTATGTGATGTTTCTGTACACCTTACTGTAAAATGAGTTTAAGTATCACAGGTTAGAGATCCGAACGTTATTGGCTGATTTATTTATTTTCAGTTTGTGTGGATAGTCTTATCCTTTGATGGCAAGTAAAAGATTGGGATGTTGCTATCCAAACGGAACAGGTAATCCGATAGGAAATTAACATAGGTAAATAAATTTTTTTAGACGTACAGTTTCTTAGTTGGCTGGGTTTAAATTCACCTCAAAACCTTTTTTTTTTCAAATCAAGAGAGAAACGTTTTCAAAGTTAAAGGGATAATTCACACTAGGAAAAAAACAGTCATCATCTCACCCTCATGTCTTTACAAACCTGTGTGACTGTTTCTTCTGTGGGCATGAAACAGTTTTGAGAAATGTCTCAATGTTGTCGTCCCCCTCCCCCTGTTGTTCCGCGTAAGAAAATGTCAAATGTGTTTGAAAAGACACGAGGATGAGTGAAATGACACATTTTTTATTTTTTGGGGAGTGGAATAGCTTGCATTTATACTCAATATTTGGTTTGGTCGTTCTTCCCCCATCTATTCAACAACTAAATAAACAATGCAGTTTATGGTGTAACAAAAGACCTTTTGTTTGTGTAATGCATGATTAATACTACAATAAAGTATTTTTTCTAGTCTTCCACAAGTTCCGATCAGTTTGAAGAGTTTTGATGAGTTTTGTAAGGTTTTTGATTTACTACGAATCAACAGATTTTAAAGATTGTACCACATAGCAAAGCAACTGTTGAAAAGTAATGTATATAAAATGTCTATAATAAATATTAAATGGTGTATCTGTATATGCAACATGCCCCTTGTCTCGATAATTAATGCAGCTCTGTGTTATCACGGTATTTGATTGACGGCTCATTGATGACGAATGATGATTACCAAGATTCACGATTTTAATAAAATTTGTGAGGGACTCAGTTTGAACAGTCTACTGCTTAACCCCCTCAGACCTGAATTATGTTTCAAGTTTCTGAAAAATATAAAAGTACATTTTCCCAGCTCATGAGGTTTCTATAAATGAAAACAAATGGAAAAAAAATTATATAATTGCTTTCATTGTGATTTTTTTTTTTTTTTTTTGGTCAAAATCAGGTCAAAATAGGTGTACTTCCCAAAAAATATACCAACATAAAATAAATTAATAAACATAAAATTTGTTAGTCTATACTTTTTCTCAAGGTCAAAAAAATTCCAGCAGTATACCATTTTAACTATAATTTTGAGGTTTTTGTTTTACAGATTGCACATTGTTTGTAACAAACTAAATATCTTCGAATCAATCAATCTGGTCATATAAGAGTCATTTTCTGTGTGCATCTTTCTTTTTTAGAACAAAAACTTGAACATTATAACATTACAACTTTAATCGTAAGTTTTTTTTTCTTTATATGTTGCACATTTGTTTATTCATAACAAAATGAACCTAGGGTCTAAGTCTCAAGGCCCTCAATCAGAATCCAGAGTTTCAAGAAGATCAGAGCAACTCAAAATTTTGACCCGAAAAAAATGACAGTCGACTTTTTTGCTGCAAAAAAATAAGTTTCTCAAATTTTCTTGAATCTCAATATTTCAGCTCTGGAAGGGTCTAGAGACTCCATTTTGCACTCAGGTCTAAGTCCCAAGGCCCTCTATCAGAATCCACAGTTTCAAGAAGATCAGAGCAACTCAAAATTTCGACCCGAAAAAACCGACAGTGGTATGCCTGTGGTTTTTTTTTTGTTTTTTGTTTTTTGGTGCGAAAAAATAAGTTTCTCCAATATTCTTGAAACTGGATTCAGATAGAGGGCCATGGGACTTAGACCTGAGTGCTAAAATGGAGGCTCTTGACCCTTCCAGAACTGAGATATTGAGATATTTATAATGGCATAATGTTACATGGGATCTCAATATCTCAGCTCTGGAAGGGCCAAGAGCCTCCATTTTGGCACTAAAGTCTAAGTCCCATGGCCCTCTATCAGAATCCAGAGTTTCAAGAAGTTTGGAGAAACTTATTTTTTTGCACAAAAAAAAAACGAAACACTGTCATTTTTTTTTCGCGTTGAAATATTGAGTTGCTCTGATCTTCTTGAAACTCTGGATTCTGATAGAGGGCCATGGGACTTAGACCTGAGTGCAAAAATGGAGGCTCTAGACCCCTCCAGAGCTGAGATATTGAGATCCCACGTAGCATTTATGCCATTATAAATATCTCAATATCTCAGCTTTGGAAGGGACTAGAGCCTCCATTTTGGCACTCAGGTCTAAGTCCCATGACAGTGTTACACCGAAAGGGGTAACACTGTCGTTTTTTTTTTTCGGGTCGAAATTTTGAATGTTGATATCTCAGCTCTTGAAGGGTCTAGAGCCTCCATTTTTGCACTCAGGTCAAAGTCTCACAGCCCTCTATCAGAATCCAGAGTTTTGAGAAGATTGGAGAAACTTAATTTTTCGCCCGAAAACGAAAAAAACGAAAGGGGTAACACTGTCGGTTTTTTTTTCGAGTCGAAATTTTGAATTTTGATATCTCAGCTCTGGAAGGGTCTAGAGCCTCCATTTTTGCACTCAAAAACGAAAGGGGTTACACTGTCGTTTTTTTTTTCGGGTCGAAATTTTGAATTTTGATATCTCAGCTCTGGAAGGGTCTAGAGCCTCCATTTTTGCACTCAGGTCAAAGTCTCGTGGCCCTCTATCATAATCCAGAGTTTTGAGAAGATTGGAGAAACTTAATTTTTCGCCCAAAAAAAAAAAAACGAAAGGGGTAACACTGTCGTTTTTTTTTTTTCGGATCGAAATTTTGAATTTTGATATCTCAGCTCTGGAAGGGTCTAGAGCCTCCATTTTTGCACTCAGGTCAAAGTCTCGTGCCCTCTATCATAATCCAGAGTTTTGAGAAAATTGGAGAAACTTAATTTTTCGCCCAAAAACGGAAAAAAACGAAAGGGGTAACACTGTCGTTTTTTTTTCGGGTCGAAATTTTGAACTTTGATATCTCAGCTCTGGAAGGGTCTAGAGCCTCCATTTTTGCACTCAGGTCATAGTCTCACAGCCCTCTATCATAATCCAGAGTTTTGAGAAGATTGGAGAAACTTAATTTTTCGCCCAAAAACGGAAAAAAACGAAAGGGGTAACACTGTCGTTTTTTTTTCGGGTCGAAATTTTGAACTTTGATATCTCAGCTCTGGAAGGGTCTAGAGCCTCCATTTTTGCACTCAGGTCATAGTCTCACAGCCCTCTATCATAATCCAGAGTTTTGAGAAGATTGGAGAAACTTAATTTTTCGCCCAAAAACGGAAAAAACGAAAGGGGTAACACTGTCGTTTTTTTTTTCGGGTCGAAATTTTGAACTTTGATATCTCAGCTCTGGAAGGGTCTAGAGCCTCCATTTTTGCACTCAGGTCAAGTCTCACAGCCCTCTATCATAATCCAGAGTTTTGAGAAGATTGGAGAAACTTAATTTTTCGCCCAAAAACGGAAAAAAACGAAAGGGGTAACACTGTCGTTTTTTTTTTTTCGGGTCGAAATTTTGAATTTGATATCTCAGCTCTGGAAGGGTCTAGAGCCTCCATTTTTGCACTCAGGTCAAAGTCTCACAGCCCTCTATCATAATCCAGAGTTTTGAGAAGATTGGAGAAACTTAATTTTTCGCCCGAAAATGAAAAAAACCGAAAGGGGTAACACTGTCGTTTTTTTTTTCGGGTCGAAATTTTGAATTTTGATATCTCAGCTCTGGAAGGGTCTAGAGCCTCCATTTTTGCACTCAGGTCAAAGTCTCACAGCCCTCTATCATAATCCAGAGTTTTGAGAAGATTGGAGAAACTTAATTTTTCGCCCGAAAACGAAAAAAAACGAAAGGGGTAACACTGTCGTTTTTTTTTTCGGGTCAAATTTTGAATTTTGATATCTCAGCTCTGGAAGGGTCTAGAGCCTCCATTTTTGCACTCAGGTCAAAGTCTCACAGCCCTCTATCATAATCCAGAGTTTTGAGAAGATTGGAGAAACTTAATTTTTCGCCCAAAAACGGAAAAAAAACGAAAGGGGTAACACTGTCGTTTTTTTTTTCGGGTCGAAATTTTGAATTTGATATCTCAGCTCTGGAAGGGTCTAGAGCCTCCATTTTTGCACTCAGGTCAAAGTCTCACAGCCCTCTATCATAATCCAGAGTTTTGAGAAGATTGGAGAACTTAATTTTTCGCCCGAAAACGAAAAAAACGAAAGGGGTAACACTGTCGTTTTTTTTTCGGGTCGAAATTTTGAATTTGATATCTCAGCTCTGGAAGGGTCTAGAGCCTCCATTTTTGCACTCAGGTCAAAGTCTCACAGCCCTCTATCATAATCCAGAGTTTTGAGAAGATTGGAGAAACTTAATTTTTCGCCCAAAAACGGAAAAAAACGAAAGGGGTAACACTGTCGTTTTTTTTTCGGGTCAAATTTTGAATTTTGATATCTCAGCTCTGGAAGGGTCTAGAGCCTCCATTTTTGCACTCAGGTCAAAGTCTCACAGCCCTCTATCATAATCCAGAGTTTTGAGAAGATTGGAGAAACTTTATTTTTTGCCCAAAACGGAAAAAAACGAAAGGGGTAACACTGTCGTTTTTTTTTCGGGTCGAAATTTTGAATTTGATATCTCAGCTCTGGAAGGGTCTAGAGCCTCCATTTTTGCACTCAGGTCAAAGTCTCACAGCCCTCTATCATAATCCAGAGTTTTGAGAAGATTGGAGAAACTTAATTTTTCGCCCAAAACGGAAAAAAACGAAAGGGGTAACACTGTCGTTTTTTTTTCGGGTCGAAAATTTTGAACTTTGATATCTCAGCTCTGGAAGGGTCTAGAGCCTCCATTTTTGCACTCAGGTCAAAGTCTCACAGCCCTCTATCATAATCCAGAGTTTTGAGAAGATTGGAGAAACTTAATTTTTCGCCCGAAAACGAAAAAAAACGAAAGGGGTAACACTGTCGTTTTTTTTTCGGGTCGAAATTTTGAATTTGATATCTCAGCTCTGGAAGGGTCTAGAGCCTCCATTTTTGCACTCAGGTCAAAGTCTCACAGCCCTCTATCATAATCCAGAGTTTTGAGAAGATTGGAGAAACTTAATTTTTCGCCCAAAAACGAAAAAAAACGAAAGGGGTAACACTGTCGTTTTTTTTTCGGGTCGAAATTTTGAACTTTGATATCTCAGCTCTGGAAGGGTCTAGAGCCTCCATTTTTGCACTCAGGTCAAAGTCTCACAGCCCTCTATCATAATCCAGAGTTTTGAGAAATTTGGAGAAACTTAATTTTTCGCCCAAAAACGGAAAAAAAACGAAAGGGGTAACACTGTCGTTTTTTTTTTCGGGTCGAAATTTTGAACTTTGATATCTCAGCTCTGGAAGGGTCTAGAGCCTCCATTTTTGCACTCAGGTCAAAGTCTCACAGCCCTCTATCATAATCCAGAGTTTTGAGAAGATTGGAGAAACTTAATTTTTCGCCCAAAAACGAAAAAAAACGAAAGGGGTAACACTGTCGTTTTTTTTTCGGGTCGAAATTTTGAATTTTGATATCTCAGCTCTGGAAGGGTCTAGAGCCTCCATTTTTGCACTCAGGTCAAAGTCTCACAGCCCTCTATCATAATCCAGAGTTTTGAGAAGATTGGAGAAACTTAATTTTTCGCCCGAAAATGAAAAAAAAACGAAAGGGTAACACTGTCGTTTTTTTTTTCGGGTCGAAATTTTGAATTTTGATATCTCAGCTCTGGAAGGGTCTAGAGCCTCCATTTTTGCACTCAGGTCAAAGTCTCACAGCCCTCTATCATAATCCAGAGTTTTGAGAAGATTGGAGAAAC